ACAAGTTTGATAGTTTCCTATGGTTTGTGTATATTAAAAATACCATAGGCTATTTTGGGCAGCGATCCTGAAACTCCTGTACTGAGATATACTTTGTTTTAATGGACTTTCTTTTAATGGCTGCACAAAATATTTTCTATGACCCTGGAGATTTTTTTTGGAAACGTCTCTGGAAAATACCTTCCTAAAACGTCACTGTCTCTAAGAAAGCAGTAGGCAGGACGTAACTGCTTTATAGCTCAACCTTGTATGTAAATAACTACATGCATGCTTAACATTAATGTCGTACCTAGTTCCGCCAATTTATCAGCTTGGATCGTAGACTTGCAAAAACTTACACATGGCAGATGTTAAGTATATGGTGGTGGACTATTCATTGTAGGGAAGGGGTAGCTCACACGCAAGATGGTAAACCTGCTTTTACCCTCTTTTTTTTAACCCGCCTAACTTTTTTTTAACCGTAGATGTTTCCCAAGCTGAAATAGGACAGGAGTGTACAAATATATCCAGGGCTGCCTATACTTGGAAAAAGGGTTAGCCCTGACTAGGGCTGTTGCGTAGTCTGTACCGCATTGTTTCTGGTGTTCACTGTGTGGATGTGAAATGACCCTTCCTCTGGTCTGACAGGGACCTTCCACACTCTTCTCAAATGAAATAGTAGAAAAATATCACCGAAATGTGTCTGCCTAGAGGAGGTGAAGTGGTTGGGTCAAAGCGCGTGGGATTGACGTGAAGCTTTGACCTCTGCTGTCCCCTCTCATCTGCGTACTGTCCCCCTCGATTGAAATGGTAGAACTATTTCTGTCATTGCATAGCAAATATCATCAGGCAACTGAGAAGGACTGTTTGTGTCTTCTTGCTTTTTCTTTTTCTTCTCTTTTCTTTTTCTTTTTTTAATCCAGCTGATTTCTTTATTTGGTTACCCCCAGCAGCAGAAATAGCTCTTATAAGTGCTAGTGAGATGCTGGCGCAAGGGTAGGAGCAAGTGGCTGGCAGAGGAGAAAAGCTGAGGAGAGCCAGTGACTCTTAAGCCAGTCCTGCCACCAGAAGAAATGTATAAGAAACTGTATGTTGGATAAGTACTTTTTCACAAAAAAGTTTCCACCGCTGCTTTCCACAGCTGGTACCGTGAAGCCAGTGTGTCAGATAAACCGTTATCCAACCAGTTCAAATCACTGAACTCTCTGCAAGTATACTGGATACTCAGATTTCAGAATTTCAGATGTGCTATTTGAGCTCCTAAAGAGTTAGGGGTGAGCAAAGCAGTAGCCAGGCTGTGTTGTGGAGGCCTGACTGCTCAGTAGATGAGCACAACGGGGGAGGCCGGTTATAAATATTTGTGGAAAGCGCAAATATTTATGTAGTCCTTGTAATTATTGTCAGACACTGATGTTTGTCCAAAAACAAAGAGAAGATGCAAGACACAGGGAACTGGGATGACAATACGTACTCATGTTTACTGCTAACTTGTGGGAATCTTTAGAGCAGAAAGAGTTTAAGCCAGAATCTCTTGCAGATGTGACAGACTTCTTCCAGAGCCGCCGGACTTTCTGCTGCGGTGGTGCTGGGCTCTTGGGAACCTAGCGCTTCCAGGGATCGCGTCTCGGGATGGAGAGCTCAGCTCCCGGCTCTGTAGGTGTGGACCAGGATTATCAAGACCTGCCCCTTTGTAGAAGTTTTGAGTCTTGGGTTTTCTGTTTTTTGTTCTGAAAACTGTGAAGCACGTTTGTTCTTCAGGACTCATCCTCTGGAGGAGCTCTTATTGCTCTAAAACAGGGTGCGAGGAGTTTGTTTGTTTGTTTTCCCCCAGGATTTGTGCTGGGAGGTGAGTTTTCAGCTTTTGACTAGGTCTGGCAAAAACTGGTGTCCCAGCAAAGTTAAAACAGATCTGTAACTACGTTTCCCCTGCAGACTTGTTTAGTGGTCAGCTAAATAACATACAAAAGGTTTGTGACATGACTTGCTCTTCAGAGCCTTTTTTTTTTAACATTTTAAGAGATTTCTCTGTGGCTTGCACTCCTGCACCTGAAGGTCCCGAGGCCCTGGGCAGGGCAGCTGATCTTACAGTGGTGGGAAGGAAGAGGTGAGGTGAGTTGGGCCACGGTCACGGTAAGGCATGTGGCATTAGAGAGGCTCCGCAGTGTAGCTGCCCCTTTAGGGTAACCTTTCTAGCAGAGAACTTGCTGAGGAGGTGGACTTGAGCTCTGTCATCCAAAGGTAGCGTCTTTGAAACCTCTCGGGCCAGCAATGTGCTGCCAGCACGTTGCTTCTTGACACAGAGACTGTTTTCCTTTACGTTTGGATAACACCTCTTCCATTGCGATCCGCTCCAGAATGTAGCTGCTCATAGCCAGAGTTAACAAAAATAAAAATAAAAACTAAGAAGGAAGAGAGAGGGGGGGGGCTTGGGGCTGGGGACGACTAACCTAACCAGCTTTCTAGAGTTTCCATGGCTATTCCGAATGCTTAAAGGAGCGCATCTGAAATAAGGTGGCTGCACTGGTATTTTTCACAAATATTGCCAACTTACAGATTGCATGGCAGCTATTAGAAGTTACCATTAAAGTCTCACTAAATAATGTGGTACAAAGTATAAAAGAGTTATGTTCTGTTGAAGTATTTGTAGCTTTAAATAGCAGCTGCAGAGACCCAGGACTGGAATAGCAGACACGTTGCTGGACATGAATGAGGTTTCACTGTAGCAGTGTAGCACCTGGCTTAGGAAAATGTTGTTCCCCTCTCACTCTTGCAAATGCCAAAGCTGCATACCTTTTTAGTTCTTTAGTACAGTTTTTAACCTTTTTGCTGTGAATAAAGCCAGCAGCTGAAGTTCACCCTGAATAGTTTGAACCTTTAAGTTGATACAGATTGAAAAGAGCTCTAGTGCCGGTCTTTATTTACACCTCGCCCACTTCCACTTTTTTTTAAAACTGAATGGCTTTTACTTTTCTGATACATTTTTTTTGTTTGAAATACTATTCCATTTGTTTTCTGCATCAGTAACTTGCCCTAGCTACATTATTTGTCTTGTAGGTGTTGCTGTAAATGTTAACTTAATTTCAGTAGATATCACAATTAAAGTTGCCATTCAGCCACCATTGCCCTCCGTTTCAGAAGTACGCTTGCATGATGTGTTTATGCACATAGTGCTTTTTATTCTAACTTTGGTGCCGACGCGAGCCCTCTCCGTCTGTTCCCCGCAACTTGAACTTCGTGTGTTTGGGGTTTTGCTGTTGTTTTGTTTGCAGCAGCAGTAGTTTCAGGAGCTGCTTGCTTTGAGGCCGCTCTCTCCTGTCGCGTGAGATTCGGTGAGGAGCTGAGAGCACTGTAGGGCGGGAGCTGAGCTGAACTGGCCCCATTTTATTTGTTGTAAAAGCCGAGCAGCCGGTCCGTAAACGAGACCTCGCCTCATTCGATGCCCCCGTTGTGTGGGGCTGAAAGCAGGAAGCCTGAGCTGGGCTGTTGCGACTGATAACAACTGCAAGGAAATAATAAGCTGCGAGTCTTTTCAAGACAATTCTTCAAAATGGTTTAGGGCTCTTTGATCAACCAGTGCAGACGTGAGAGTCTGTGGAGTTGCATCAGATAGGTGCGTCCGCAGACAGACTCGTCAAACCGTTGCCTTTTTCTCTCGGCTGGACAGCCTTCAATATTGAGGGAGGAAGTGTGTTAGGGTGAAAACAATGTGTGATGGTTTAGTGTCTCAAGCGGCATACGAGCAAGTGAAGTTTGTCAGGGCAACTTATGCGTGGCTTTTGCTGATCAGAACATATCCCACGGTGAAAAAACAAGTGCGTCTCGAAACCCTGGGCAAGGGCTAAGAAATGCCAGCCATCGCGTACAGCTGCTTGCTCGGTTGCAGCGGGGTGCCCCGAACGTCCGGGCAGAGCTGCGGCTCTGCCCCGCCGCGGCGGCTCTCGGTGCCGCGGGGGCCCCTGCGGAGGGGAGCCCCTGGAGGTGAGCGGCTCGAGGGCCCCGGGAAGGGCCGGAAGAGAGGGGGTCTCCCACCAGCATGCATGCTCAGGTGTCTCCAGTGGTCCCCTCTGCTTGCTCAGCTGAGGCAGCTTCATGCGGCTGGCTTTGCAAGGAAGGGCCTGGCCGGGGACACTGTTGCTTTATATGAGGGGCATGCGTGTGTGTGTGTGTATACACAAGCTGCTTGTATATTTTATATATGTGTGTGTATATATAGATGTATATGCACACATACACGTGATCTTTGAGCTCACCTCTCTCTTGCTTTGTTTGCACTAAGCTAGAAAGAAAACGTATTTCCATGTTCTTCCTCCACTGCCCAAGAGATTTAGGACTGTCAGTATTTTTGTTGTTGTTGTTTGTTATACAGCCTTGAGCACAGCTATCCCAAAAGTGTGGCTTAAACAGCTTCCCCTCCCACCTTTAATATGCTCCGTCTTTAGTAGCACAGAAAGTTCTGTGGCCAAAAAAAGGTGTGTTCCTGTACATGCGTACCAAAAAGGGCACCTTAAAAAGTACAGTGGGACTTTGATGAATTGAAAATGCATCTATGCAGCTTGTTGTGAAGCAAAACCCATCTCCAGCTTGTATCAGAAACAAAGTAATTTTGTCCCTGTTAAAAGCAAACATCTGCAATCTGTGTCCTTCTTACACAGATTTGTTTATTCACTGTGGAGGCAGGAGAGTATATTACAGGAAAGAGAGCCTGATCACTGCAATAACTGTTCTATTGGGCAAAACATGCCAGGACCATAAACTGCATAGAGATATCAGAAAACAGGATTAAGAAATCGGGAGCAGTTCATACTCACCTTCATCCTTAGTGTGTGGGAAAACTAGAAATTGATATGTTTAAATCTGGTGACTTAATAAACAGGGCAATCTGTTTGCACTTCGATACTGGTCAGACGGGAGTAGATGACTTAAGAAATTCTGGAGTTTCATAGGAAATCTCTCAGCTTCCCTGTCTGACTTAGGCAATAGAAAGCTAGCAGTGATGATGGAGTGACTTACGTTTTTGTCGTCTTGCTTTCCAGTTGGCCTGCTGCTGTGGTACTGCTGCTTGTGCCTTGTGCTGCAAATGCTGCCCCAAGATAAAGCAGTCAACAAGTACCCGCTTCATGTATGCGCTTTACTTCATCCTGGTGACTATCATCTGTTGCGTCATGATGTCAACAACAGTAGCTAACGAAATGAAAGTGCATGTAAGTAAGAGAGACAACTCCGCTATTGCTCCCAAAGAGAAATGCGGCTCCTTCTAGGTCTCCTCCCGTACACGGGTGCTCCCTTCAGTGTTTCCTCTGGGGACTCTTCTGCGTGACTGAGGGGCAGGGATTCCCTCCACCCCACCACTTTGAAACCCAGAAGGGACAAGTTGCTGTGTTCTGCCTCTTCTGTCCGTTGCTCACCATTCAAGTGTATTTCACAACGGGAAGAGTAAAGGATCGTAGGATTAGTGGTCGCCTCTTGTGTTGTGTAGAAACCCATTGCGATAAACCCAGCCCACGTTTGCTATGCAGGTAGTTTCACTAGAGTCTATTACGGGATACGTTACAGTAGAGCAAATTATTTTCTGGTAAACCTTTTCAAGTGAGAAACTCATCAGGAGCCTCAGCATGGGTTTTAAAGATGTTTTGTCCTTTAGTCTCTGTCAGACAGAACACAGAAAGTAATAGCAGAGGAAAGCAAAAAGGGCAGCCTAATGCTAGCTAGTGAAGGCATCATGCCCCTGGCGTGAGATCCCTCACAAGTTCACTCTAACGTTGCATTTGTCTCTGGTAACTAGTTTAGTAGCAGAAAAATCAAGGTAAAAAGATAACTCTTCAAGTGCTGAATTTGTTTTAATTCTGTGTTCTTGGTGTTATGTGACAGACTACCAAAGTGCACAATGCTGAATCCTTTACAAAGGGTTTCTTAAGTACATGTGAATCATCATGTTCCCATGACCACTAACCACAGCAGATACAGTTCAGATCTAATTGTCTTTTTAATTAAAAAGTTTCAAAAGAATGAAGGGGGCTGTGACTAAAACTAGGCTTTAAAATCAGGTTTCTTGGTTTCTTTCAGAGTCTTAGTATAACTTTTCTGAGCTGAATGTTCACCAGCCTATTTGAGGCCACACACTGGAGCTGTTGTTCCACGTCTTTTGGTTTGGTTTTTTAAGCCACCCAAGTCGGTCTCAGTAGTACAAATGCTCTCTCACCCTCTGCAAACTACAAGAAAAAATATCTATTTTTAAGGAGAGGGAAAAATGATTGGATTTAATTTTTAAAAGTTAAGTAGTATAGGACTGAAACTTAGTTTCCGCATCAAACTTGGCATGAGGCCTGCTGCGCGGATGTGACCCAGCTTGCCCTAGAGGTTCAGAAGGCCTCAGTCGCTGCAGGCGTCTAGTTGTTTGGTGTTGTACCCTGCTGAGGGAGTGCCAGCGGGATCACGGTTGAGGCTGCTTCCTGGTTTAACCAGTTGCTGGTCCTGTTTAGTCTCTGCTTACCCTGAGTGCTTGTCTTTGTTATCTGTGAAACTCTTCCCTCCAGGTCCGATTGAATTCACCCTGTGAATGCAACACAGATGAGCTGACTGGCTTATGTCAGGGCTAGCTTGAGGGTTTCTGTGCTCCACTGTGACCTTCCCTGTTGGCTGCTGGTTATGAGAAGTTGATGGTAGCTCTGTAAGAATGCCCAATACAGACGTGTATTTTGTCCATGACAAAATGTTGTTGGCATGATGTTTGTCCATGACCTGTGACTTTAAAACTGCTTAACATGTGCATGCTGAAATTGCTTGCCAGGAGTTACTGTGACTTACTAGATGCTTAGGTTGGCAATAAAGTGAATAATCCAAGGAACTGAAGTGTGTGGAAGACAAATAACATGCTCATATCCAGATTTCGTACAGTCGTTTTCCACCAGTAGTATGATTTTAATGCAGTTTGTCTCCCTAACAAAAAAGAATACTTTTTATCCAAACAGAAAAGTGATTCAAAGTCATTAAGCAGCCTTCGACAACGTGCTTTTCAGTGTTGCCCAATTTATTTTCCAGTTCTTATTGCTGAAAGCTCAGCCGTAGGAAGAAATGGCACAAAGAGTAGCTGTTAGTGTGAAGTGGAAAGATAATTCCCCTCTTAATTGAGAGTATTTGATGGCTTTGAATGGGAAATGGAGCATCTGAAAGTAAGCTTTTTTTATCTGCTCTCTAATTTAATAATTATGTTCTGGGCTGTTTAAAGTTCAAAGGCTCCTGAAGCTAATTCAGCCCAGTTGTAGTAGAGTGCACCTCCAAAGTAGCTCTCCAGATTGAGAAGCTGAGACTGGTTAATGATAAACTGTGTTTTGAAAATGTTGGGCGCTTACTGATTCCATCACTTTGGACCAGATCGTGGAGTACTGCTAGCTCCTGAATCCCGACTGTAAGCAAACGCTTTGCTTGATGCTTCTAGGGTCTCACCCTCCCTTTGTTGAGAAGGGACAGAGTTTTAATTAATTGTGGTTAGAATTTTTTAAAATGCTTAAAATATTTTAGTGCAGTCCTTTACTGAGCCAGAATCTTGGTGTAGAGCTGTGTGTCCACTTTACCAGCGCAGAGATCCAATAATCATCCTAATGTTATGTGAAAGGAAGTTAAACCTTGCAAATGTGGTTTATTTGGGTTTTTTTTTTTGATATTTTGTTGATTGGCTATAAATTCCCAAGTCTGAAGTAGTTCTAAAAATATTTATTGTAGCACTGTAGCCTTTGGGTTTTTGAAATTATTTTGGGAGTAATCCACAGCAAATATATATCTCTTTTTGGACAGCTTAAAGAGTGATTTTTTTAGAAAGGTTTTACTGTGTTCAGCCACCCCCATGGTCATGCACTCTGTCTGTTAAAAGCAAGTTTGGGACAGTTCTTCAGTTCCTTTGCAGGTGCCAGTCCAGAGTCAGGGCCCCGCTCTAAGCACCGTAACATGGATGGAAAAATGGGTGAGCTCAATTCCACGCCCTCACCACATTGCCAGGTGGATGAAACTTTGCGTCAACGGGAGGGCACAGTACCGATGAAGTATTTGGTTATGGCAGGGAAACCTTGATTCCTAATCTAGCTGGCAGCATTTTGAGGGCCTAGTACTGTGTGGTGAGCCTTAAGAACTGAAGAAAGGAAGGACACTGTCTTATTGGAGAGGTTTTTCTACGTTCTTTTCACTCCTCTTCTCTCTCCCCTGAGCTGCTCCTGTGTGTACGGGACACCGTGAGAGAGTCTTGGAGGGCTGAATTAAGAAAAATATTCAAAGAGGTCAATACGTTTATGTTTGCCTGGGGGAGAAGCAAGAGGCAGTGGAGGGATAGTAAGGGAAAGGATGATTTTGGCCAGGAAAATGGTCTAAGTATTAGTGTGCGGAATAGATTCCAGAGGAGCAAAGTTGTGTCTCAAGGAGAAAGATGGGGTACCACATCAGTCAAGACAAGGAAACAAAGCAGGACCCAACCTGAAGAAGGACTTCTATGCCTGGGCCCGTATGTACTTTTTCCAGTTATGCTAGTTGGTGGAAGAACAGGTATTGCTTTACCCTCAAACATTTTGTTGAACAGAAACCATGCCTTTCACAGGCTTTGAAAGGATAATTGGGGGAAAGAGAGAGAGAGAGAATTGTTTCGGTCTGTTTAAGTAGTGTTTTATTTATTTATTTTTAATAAAAGGTGTTTCAAAACTAGTGGTTTTATTCTGAAAGTATCGATGTCCCAATTAAATAATGAAAGAAAATCAGAAAGAGATTTTCAGGAAAATAAACCCCAGTGAAACCAGTCCAGCTGTGTCAAAACATTTCAGTTTTAGAGGGTTATGTGTTCAGGCAGAGCATGTTTTCACACACACGCGCACACACACACACGCACACACACTTGAATACTACACACTTTAATACTTTAATGAAGCTGCGCATTGCCTATTTCTGGTAAGAATTCAGCTACATATGCAAGTTGGCATGTGTTTTGATCAGATGGGCTTGTGTCTTTCTGTTCCCTTTCTTAGCTATTCAAGACAGGTAGTTTTACCTCTTCTTCCTCTTTGTCCCTGCCCCCACATACACTTTTCTTTTATGCTTTCTCCCTCCTATTCTATCGCAAATGCCATTTGCCACATTCTCCCTCTGTTTAACGAGGACATCCAGATTAAAGCAGTCCACTTTGGGTTCCTCTGACCCTTCAGTCCTGCACGTTTCTCCCCTCCTGTTCTGGGCGATGCTGTCTCTCGCAGTCCTGCGCTTGCAGGGGTGGGTGCCGGCAGACCTGAGCTCGGTGGTGGCTGGCACCTGGGAGCTGCACGGCCGTGTTGGCTCGGAGCCGCGTGCTGTTGTTTGGGGTGCCAGTGCAAGCAGCTCACAGTGAGGGCAAAGCAAGTTCGGAGCGGTCTGTACCTGCTCGTGTGGATCCAGCCATTGCAACAAAGAGCTTTGAGCTCTGACAATTACTGATTTGCCATGATAAAGTCGTGGCTAACACAGCTGCAGAGACATTAGTGTCCTGCGAGCAGACACAGTTCCTGGGTAAGACTGCTTTGTCTCCCTCTTGGAGGCCAAATAATTTAGATTATGTTGCTTTTAAAAACATAAAGGTAAGTAGCTCACTGTATTGAGCTTGCCAGAGCAACTAATCTATGAGTTTGTGAGCTGGCAGAATGACCCAGCAGAGGGAGAGCGTAGCAGAGCCCGTGCTGCAAGACATCCAGCGTGCCTGGGGCTGGCCGGACGGCAGCTGTGTGGGGACAGCCGGGCACAGCGAGGGCTGCCCGGGGCAGCGTGTGGCTCCCTGACCCACGGGGCTCCCGTCCGTGGCCGCAACGGAGGCTGTGGGGCCGCTTTCAGCCACTTTTCTGCAGTGTCCCAGTGCTCCTTTACCCCCAGCTGAAGCAGCTGTGCCAAGGGTTCTCGGTCTGGGAGGCTGCTGCAGCCATATGGCTGGTCCCAAATTACCTCTCCGAACCAGAACGTAGGGTTTTGAAAAGTCACTTTTGTCTTTTTTAACTTTCAGTGATTGAGTGCCCACACAAGCCTTGGTAAATCGCTTGCAGCAGCCGCTGACCCCCTGGTGAAAGCGTGCCTGGTTCCTGACAGCAGCCCTTTTGTGCCCAGCGTTGTGCTCGCCTTTGTTATCTGCCAGGGTCCCCAAGCGTTTGGTTTTCTTCTTGCTTTGTTACTTCAGGATCACTGGTCTCAGATGGGGATGTTGAATCCCACAGGACCACGTGGCCATCATTTACGAGTACGTAAGGGTTGTGCATGCTACATAATGGCTGAGCTCTTTGCTTGTGTAGGCACAAACTCAGCTATTGTTCCTGTGAATCCATCCATTTTCTGTCAGCCTATTCTGTAAGGAAATTACTACACAGTGGAAAGAACTACATAGGGTCAAAAAATCCCTTCAAGATCTCGGAAACCTACACAATTGTACAAGTTACAGTTTACCATTTACAGTTGCATGGAGACCTGTTTTTAATTAGCTAGTTGATTAATCAAATTCCATGGTATTTTTTGCTTTCTTCTTTAAGTCTCATAATCAAAATACTGTTTGATACCAATTCCAGGTCTTACAGAAATCTATCTGCTTACGAGCAAACATCTAATCTTCTCAGAGATACTGTTAGTTTAATATGATGTGCCTTTTATATCTGTGCTGATTAATGGCAATTATAAGCAAAGAATAGAAAAGAATCAGTAAACTGGTTGCCCAGATACTCTCCCTGGCATTGCTGGGGCGTTGCTAGGTTTTTTTTTTTTTTTTTAATTTTTCCAGTCAATCCATTTGCTCTTTCTGAATGCTGGTACGTTTGCACGGTTTGCCATTTCCCTTGCCTTTCAAGACTGAGGAAAAGCATTGCTGATGGTCCACGTGGTTTCTCAGGAGCTCTCTAAAAACTCTGGGATGCAAGTTAGACCAACTCGCTTATCGTGCAGCTTCTTAAGCAGCGCTGCTGATCCTTGAGCTACTTCTGAAAGAGTATCTCAGAACGGCACACCTTGAATCCATTTTTCTAATGTGACACAGCTGCATTGAAACCTTCTACTTTTTCTCTCCCCATCTGGCTCTAGCCCACCTAGGACCAGCCCAAAATCACAGTTCAGTTTTTCTGTTTCTGTACACTTAGCAAGCAAACATTTTAGCTCTGTGTTGTCACGAGCTGCTAAGATGCTTACTCTTTGGGCTAAAAAGGTTACTGGGTTTCTGGCTGGTTTTGCTTATTAGCAGTCAATGGGAAGTGTGCGCTAAAGGAAGCATGCTGTTTGAGCCTTGCAGCTGGGAGCCAGGAGTTCACGTGTTTATTCCTTGTTTCCTGCATGGTGGATGGCTTTCCGCCTAGCGGGAGCTCGGTCTCACCGTTTGTTCTGCAGTCCTGCTTGTGCTTTCCCTTTCCTGTTTTGGTGTATTACCTGTCTGCTGAAAGGAGTGAAGGCCGGTATTTTTTTTCTGTCTTTCTTGGAAATGTTCGTGGATGGTGTTGCCCACAATCTTTGTATATTTTTCTTATGTGAAATCTGCCCTGGCTGAATGCTTTCTGAAATCTTGATTCCCGTTTCATCGCCCTGAATTATTTATTTGTAGGGTGCTTTGTCTTGGCATGCATTGTCTTCTGTCTCCTCCGGTTACCTGTGCAGATAACCATGATGAATTGTAAAGGTTTTGATGTGTTGCTCTACTAGTCTCACCAGCCTCAGCTGAGGGTTTTTAGCATACAGAGAGGCCCTTATTGGTTTGAAAGGACCGGTGGCTTTCTAATTAAATGCTTCTATTTCTGAGCAGCTGAACAGCTCCCTGGCAGGGAGGGGAGGCCAGGCCAGGCCGACACAAGGACGCTGCGTGCGAGGGGATCCTGGGCACAGAAACCGGCTTTTTGAGTGTTGAGTGTCGTGTCTGTGTGATGAAACTGAGGCCAAAATGTGCAGCTGTTTGCTTTCCTCTTACACCAAGGGCAAGGCCTCAAAGGCAAATATTTAGCAAGTCAAGAGAAAGGTGGAATTTTCCTACCTCTCTGCTAATTTAAAAAAAAAAAAAAATCAGGGCAGTGGCCCACCGCCCTTTCTGAAGTTGTGATGGGGGTGGAGGGGGGAATTGCTGTTCTTGTGCCATCTGGGCGTGCTCCTGTGCCATCAGCAAAAACGTACGATGTGAGCCAGAGCTTCCTGCCCTGCGCCCCCTTTCCCCGGCCCCCGTGCTGATAAAGCTGCCAGGACGGCTCTGTGGAGACAGGAGGATGGGCAAGATCACAGCGTCTTGTTGTGAAGCACGTGAGGATGGAGCAGGTTCCCGGGGTGCGGGAGTGGGCGGTAAGGGGCAGCGGGGCCAGAGGAAAGGTGGTTGGGCTGGTACCCCAGAGCATGCGAAAGGAGTTGGCAGCTGAGGCTCTGGAAAGCTCCTTGTGTTTTACATAGTGTTATGTCCCTTGAACCGTTAAGCCCAGACTGAGGTGTAACAACAGCGAAAGGTGTCAGTGCTAAATGAAGCCGGTGAAAAACGGATGGTGCAAAGGCTTATGGAGGCTTAGCTACGAGGAGCCCTGTGTTTGCTCTAATGGCTTGTAACTTGCTGTGCTTTTCAGATCCCTTTCTACAAGCAGCTGTGCAAGGGCATTCAGGCGGGAGACACGTGCGAGAAGCTGGTGGGGTACTCCGCCGTCTACAAAGTCTGTTTTGGAATGGCCTGTTTCTTCTTTCTCTTCTTCTTGTTCACTATCAAAATAAACAACAGCAAAAGCTGCCGAGCATACGTTCATAATGGGTAAGTATTTGTTTGGTTGCCGAATTTCCACACCTCTTTCTAGGTTGTTGTTTACTGTTTTCCAGTTGGGTATAGTACGGCGGGGGGGAAGGAGGTGATTTTACTGCTTTTGTTAGCTGTAACGCAGTCAAGTACGAACAAACTTAAATGGCAATCAGTCAGCGCAGGTTGCTTGTCTCTTACTTAAAAGTTAGGCTTTAAACAGATTTCTTATGGAGTTGTTAATTGCTGTTATAACCAGATGATTTTTTTTCTTTATTTATTTTTGTTTTTAATCCAGATTCTGGCTTATTAAGCTTATACTTCTGGCAGCAATGTGCTCAGGAGCCTTCTTCATTCCTGATCAGGACACTTTTCTCAATGGTACAACCTTCTTATTTTGTTATGGTGTGCTTTTCTGTACTGCTCTGAGTGCTGATAGATCCTAAAGGTCTGCACAGCATAAGTGTTGCCGCATTTGTCTGAGTGAAGCCAGTACAGTCCAGAGGCAAAATGAATGCTTGGGGCGCTCTGGCTATTGTTGTGGCGGGACGCTTCCCCCTCCACTCACATACACGTCCTTTGTGTGGACACGCAGTAAAGAAGGGGGTTTTTGTGACCAAGAGGAGTAAAATACTGTTCTGTGCTATCTCACAAATTCTTTAAGCAGCTGGGAGCTGTAATGATGCAGAAGACCTTGGTTGCTGAATGCAGAGGCACGTGGTAGTTTGGCTTGTAGGGGCAGCTCTGTCGGGGCAGCTGCTGGGGGCTGTGATGTGCAGGGACGAAGCGCGCTGTGCTCCAGGGGGCGCGGTGGCCGGTAGGGCACCAGCGCTGGCTGTCCTGAAAGTTGCAATGACACAAAAGAACCTGGGGCTTAGTTAGCTTCCGAGCAGGCAGCATAAGTCTAATAATGTAACATTGGACTTCACACTTGCGGAGTGTTTTAAACCCACTGTTGAGAATCCCGTGCCTGAAGCATTTCTTGGAAGTCTTGGAAGAGAGACTGGCACCAGTCAGCTGCACTGGTGCAGGCCAGGTGCTCTGAAGGTGTTCTCTTAGCTGGGCTGATATTACATATCAGCTCTGGAGGAGACTTCTCACAGGCCTGTCAGAGATAAGGAGCAAAAATCCTGATGATGCCAAGACAAGTTTGTTGCCAGGTGTCTGTAAGCCCTTTAAGCTTCAGAGTCTGTGAGCCGGTGAAAGTTTTCCAGCAGAGACGTTGTCTCTGCAGGGAGAAGCCACCTGAGCCAATTCCAGCTGTGCTGCCTGTGCACTAGCAGCGGAGGGAAGGGACCATGTGGTCAGGGTCGCCACTGCAGCCTCCCTGAGCGAGGAGAGCCATGTAGTCTTGGGGACCCTTAGACAGAGGGTTTCTGTCATAAATAGGAAATGTCAGAATTTGTTCTGGAGGGGGTCAGTTTCTGCAATCTCTTCTGCTGCAAGGCTCCTGCCGTTTTACCACAGCTGCACTCCTCAGGAGGCTTCTGGGGCTCTTTTTTCACTGCTACGGCCAAAGCGGGGAGAAAACCCCCGCTGCATTGCCAGAGCTCCCTGCTTTTCTATAGCCTGTTAAATTTTTGCCTTAGTTGCTTTCAACTCCTTTGTGAGTAGCAAAACTAATGGAGCCTGACGTGGAGTCTCTTTCTTCTGCGTGGGTTCTCCTGATGGCTGATAGCTCCGTTGCTCCTCAGCGCTCCCTCAGGGCAGGCCACAGTTTGGGTCCTCAGCTGCCTACTTCTACAAAAACTTGCTAGACCTGTATGTTTTGGACACCCGTCCCCTCTGTTAAAAAATACTCAGGGTGTCTAAAAAGGGGAAGAGAAGGGAGTAACATGAGGGGAAGTGAAGACCTGCTTATCCCTATTCCTTTATCCACTGAGTCACGAGTTGACAATATGTTCTTGTCCTTAGCGTCTACTCGGTTGGTTGGATTAGAAAGAGGAAATGGTTTAATGTGTTGCACCCGCAGGTAACTGAGATGCCCTCTCATCTTTCCAAGCAACCCTTTCCATGGCAAAAAGTGTTCGAGAAGTAAGGTGCCTAGGGAGGAAGGGAATGGAACTTGTTGGGCTGGTCAGAGGACTGCTGTTCTCTGTGTCTTCACACGAGGTAGACTGTAGTTGAGCAACAATTTTCCTTCCCCAAATTAGTTCTTGACTTTTCTCTGTGAAGCAGTGTTATGTATGTGCTGCTAGACTGTCCTTCAGGAAGCCCTGAGTTTAAGATTGACAGAGGGTTGCAGGGTTTTTTCCCCTTTTTTCCCCACCTATCAAGAAACTTAGTGTCTTTCCCCCCCCCCCCAAAGAATATTCTGGGGGTGTTCTCCTCTCTGCTTCCCTATTTTTTCCAAAAATAAAAAAAGTACTCTTGCCATGATTCCCACACTCAGCAGTTTGTTAATCATGGAGGGAGGGGTATCATGTGCACATACTGGGCTTGCATGGGCTCTAGTGTTAAATCTGCACTAGTGGTGTTAACCTTATCTACAATGGCTCTAAAACATCCTGAATTATCCTGCCTGTGGCTGTGAGAGATCCTTACTGAGAGTCTGGCTATTTAATTACTCACTCCACCGGTTGGCTGCCGGTTCCTGTTGCGTCTCTCCCAAACACGCATACACACCCTGTTCCTTGCCTGTTTTTTTTGTTTTGTTTTGTTTTAAGAGCAGCCCGCTCATTAAGTAGATACAGTAAGTTTTGCAAAACAAGAAAAATGTCATTTTTGCTTGCTTTCAGTCAAACAAGGAACTTAGCTTGTATGCAGAAGATGTAGAGAGTTTTTTTTTTGACTGCACCTAACAGGCTGACGGTTCTCTTCTTCCACTTTGCTTCTACAAGCTTTTTTCAAAAAGAAAATACCGTGTTAGGATATGGCTGGACTTTACTAATGCACTTCCTCACTCGTTCTTCTTCACTGGAGTTAGGTGGATACCCAGAGTCACTTACAGGTTACATAATACACAGTGATAAAAACTGTAGGTGCAGCTAAACATTTAAATAGGTATCTGTATTTACTCGGAGACTTCTGATGTTGTTTGTGAGGTGTTTGTTGTACAAAGCACCAAACAGCTATCCAGATGCCTGTAGGGCAATAGTTAAGTAGTCAAATAACCTGTCTCTCTTAAAAGTGCTCAGTGAATACTAAGTGTTCTCATTTCTCTGGGAGCGGCTCAGGACGGAGCGCTTGTAAATAGATGAGCGAGCCCCACCTTTATTTTTCTGTGGTGCTAGAGTCTGGAGGGGAAGAAATTGCCATTTTTAGTGCTGGGTTCCAGTACCTTGCAATTTTAGGGTTTAGACTTCTGTGAAACGCCTTCAGGGCTTTTTTCCTCCCCACATCACAAATAAAGGTTTCAGTATTTTGTGTCTGAATATAGTAACTTTGTCTCCACAAAAATTCTTTAGATTAAGGAATCTCAGTGTGTGTCCTAAAAGGCTTATTTTGAAGATGTAGCAGGTTGCAAGCTGAATTCATCAGGCAACTATTCTTGGGTTAGCTGAGCCAGCCTTTCAGCTGAAATGCCTCATCTCCTGCTACATCTGTGGGGCTGAGACATTCAAACTGTGCAATGGCTTCACTGTATGGACAATAATTCCATTTTATCTCAAGGGGAAGGCAACAGGAGTTTGACCTATTTTCTGCTTGTCTGCCTTGCAGCCTGGCGCTACGTAGGAGCAACAGGAGGTTTCCTTTTCATTGCCATTCAGCTCATCCTGCTTGTTGAGTTTGCACACAAATGGAATAAAAACTGGTATGTGTTGTACAAGTAGTTAGTTGCATACTATTCTAGTGGACACCTGCATAACAAATCTCTTGGAACAAAACATGCAGAAGTAGTGTGGATGCAATTTCTGAGAAGACACTTTAATGTCAATATTTAGAGCTGTGCGTCTTTGCTTCAATCACTTTCCTCCTTCCCCAGTGGAGATATTTTTTCCTTAATCGTTTCTACCCTCTGCTGCTTCATTCTTACCCTCAAATTGTTCTGCTTCTAGTGAGTAGTGGTGTGTTGGGGTGCAGAGACCTCTCATTTTAAGTTGCTTCAGTTCTACCTGAAAACACACTGGTTAAGAAACAGAACTGTGTAAAAGAATAAACCTGGATTTGCAAAACATAGCAGTGAAACTGTGCACAATGGTATAAACTGGTAAATCCTGTGTTTTGGTATGAGCTTATTACACTTTTTTTAACATGAAAGCTGCTCCTTTTTCTGCTTTCATTTAACTATGCAAGGTTCTGTTATCAACCCACTCATACAGTGTTTCGGCATTGCTCTAACTTCTGGTGTGAATACATTTGATACTACCTTCCTAGCTCTTTGCCTCTCATCACGCATTAAAGTATTTTAATTGTTCTCCCACACATATGCATGAACTTATGCTTCCCTCTCCTCCACCTTTCCTTTCTCCTATTTTTTTTAGTCTGTTTGTCTACAGCCTTTGCTATCTTCTCTTATTCCAGCTAGTGCGCTGACTACTAGGAAAGGTTTTAGCAAATCTTTGGGCTTTGTAAGATGCATGTTTTCACCGAGGAGGAGGTGAGATCTCCTTACACCACAGCTATTTTTACTGCTAGTTACTCCAGCTGCTTTTCTGTGGGTGAGAGATTTCCAGGAGCAGCATTTAACTTTGGCACCAGCAACATTAGATATTCTTTTCTAATAAGTCATGCTACCACAAGAAAAGCCAACCCTCCATATACCAAAAAAACCCTTTTATGTCCAAAAAGTCTATCTTAGTTGGGGAACTAAGAAAAAACACTGATCGTTGCAAAGGGTATTTGGGAAGGAAGGTGAAGAGAGAAAACAGGATGGGCGAACACTAGCTTGCGAAACCCAGGGGGATAGGACCAAGTAGGGGGCTTTTCGAGTGAATGGGTAGTACAAGTGTCAAGGTAGCACGCAGGGAAGAAGAAAGGCAGTGCTGAACAAGGGCTTTCTAGTGCTCGTGTGAAAAACATCGCTCACAGGCTGGGTCTGGGGCACTCAGGGTTCCCGCTGAGAAAATCCCTGTTGTGTTGAGCTGAGATGCACCGAGCCGCCGGCAAGCGTGACAGCCTAGTCGGAGTGGTTTGCAGTTCTCGGAATCAGGCGGCTAGGCTGTAATTATGGAAATAGCTGGGCTTGATAATATATGCAATAAGCACTAATGCTGAGGAACGCTTCCCTCAGTTTCACAAGAGGAACCTTGCAAGGGTCTGTGTTGGTGTAGTGATACACACAGGCACTCTCATTGTGCTTGATAATAAAGACTATTCAAGTGAGTGCGCTTTTTTTGTTTTTGTTTTTTTTTTAATCTGTAAGAGGAGGGGAGAAAAAGATATGATACTTGTCTTTGTCTCCCCAGGACGGCAGGCGCAAATCACAAGCAGCTCTGGAACGGTTTGCTGGCTCTGGTCACTCTCGTCTTGTACTCTGTTGCTGTGGCAGCCCTGATCGTCATGGCTGTCTTCTACACACGCTCCGAGGGCTGCATGTACAACAAGATCCTCATCGGTGTTAATGGTGGTCTGTGCCTCTTTGTGTCGCTGGTAGCCATATCACCCTGTGTCCAAAATCGTGAGTGTGCCGACCTCTTTACCTCTCGGGTTTCTTGGCGCCTCCGTGGTTCACGTACCTTGAGACGTGTGCCGTGTTTTGGGCAAAAAGTCTAATGCTCAGATCTGACATGGTACTTTAGATTTGGTGTCATTCTTGCCCCTATCCCCTTATCTACGCTACAAAATAGTATTGCTTGTCAGCAGCTCAGCTGCTAAAACTAGAGATGTGAGATGTTTTGAGCACGCTGTCAGACAGCCTGTAAAAAAAGGCTCACGTGCTGAGGGCTGATAATGCGTTGAGGAACTTACACAATGATTGCACCGTGATAATAAGCGATTGCACTGTTAAGGTAATACCTGTCAGACCCATTCAGCTCTTACCATTTACTTTTGACTGCTTATAATTTACCCTTTGTAAAGTTTGGGCATGCAAATGAGTTGACAGCCATTAGAAGTCTTGCTCTTTCAGCTGTATTTCATGCTTTTCCAGGATATTTTACACGTGCTGTTAGTATTTTTCAATCATTGGACCAGGAAATAGGAGTAAATTCAGTGGCTCCAAAACAAATTTTACAGGCAAATAAAACTGTCATGGCAGCCTGTCAATAGTTTCTGGAAAGCTGTGCTTTTGGCTAGAGCAGCAGGGTGATTCTTTACTTATGTGGAAATCTTAATGCCTTTCTAAAACAGCCAGCAGAACTAAAGGACAGATTCTTTTCTCTTTACCTGCCAGACAAAATGTATCTAAACTGCCTCAAAACTTTTGAACCACTTGAAGTAAAACATAAAGGATGCTCTCCTCTTCTGAAAGATTTCAGTGTGCTGTTTTTAAAGGATTTGAATTTCCCTTTCAGTTTGTTAAAATGTCTACAAAAATTGTCTCTTGGCCTCTTTCTTCTAAAGGCCAACCCCATTCTGGTTTGCTGCAGTCAGGAGTCATCAGCTGCTACGTCATGTACCTCACTTTCTCAGCGTTATCCAGCAAGCCTCCAGAAACTAGTAAGTTATCTAGTGCTTTATTTAAATCCTTTGAGACATGCCGAGTATTAAAAGCAAAAAAGTCTTAGCAAACCTCAGTACTCATGAGTTTAGAAGCACTGGTTTTGAGCTGCTCTGGCCTATTTTGAGCTTGTCTGGCCTGAACAAGAAGTTGCTAATACTAAAAATAAATCTATGCAGCATTTGAGAGACCATGCAGTTGGCATCCACCGTATATCCTAACTGCTTTGGTCTAGGGGAGCTTAGCTGCTCTAGCAGGTAGGTTGAAATAGTGCACCATAGCCATTCCGGCCTGCTTCCTCATGACAGCTTACCTGGAGTCCTGCAGCCTGTCGCTCGTGTGCCAAGTGTATGTCCTCATCTGATAGGACGTGACTAAATAGGTAATAGGTCTGATCACACGATAGGGACATTTTATAGTTTTTGAATGCCTCTAGAAGGGGATGAGTGGCCAGCTCCATCCAAAAGGATAGCTACCACCAGTTAGTAGGCCTCTTCCACCCGGGTGGCTTTGTTCTGTTCTTGCCATCCTGGCTGCCAGAGGTGATACTAAAATCGCTTCTTTTCTCCTATAGTTGATATGCTAGATAGCCTTAGCTCTGGGCTCCTAATGAAACAAAGACTTGAGAGTACTGCTTGTCTTTCATTTTGAGAGGGAGAAGTCCTGAGAGATTTTGGAGTTACGTTGCTGTTGTTTAAGATGCCCTTAACCAGAGCTCCTGTACTCCACATGTGTTCTTACCGTTTGCATTGCAAGTCAGGAGTAGAGAACTTCCTAGAGTTTTAAGTTCCTAATGCTGCAGAAACGTAGCAAGACTTTACAAGTTCAACTTTAACAGTGTCCTTTTCCCAGCTAACTGTTAGATTCACTTATTTGGATGGAGAACGTTTTTTTCACTTACAGAAGACTTTCCTGAGTCAGATCAATAATGCTAAAACCCCTTCCTTATTATATCTTAGCTTTTAGTGTTAAATAACTGAAACAGCAATAACTACAGGAGAGGAAGGACACTGACAGGAAGGATGTTGGAGTTTTGCAGACCCCTGCCTATCCCTAAGAAAGGAGAGAGAAAGGGGAAGTGTCTCTCCTATTTCTGTATGTGAATCTATACACACAAATCTATTCCAGAGCTAGAAACTAAGGAGAGACAATATTTAGGTAGAAGCTTTTACTTATGGAACTTAATTAAGCAGTGTTTTTCAGTGAGTATAAAACTTTAAATGACATCTGAATTACTTGTAAGACTTGACACTTAAAAAAAAAAAGAAAAGAAAAGAAAGAAAGAAAAAACAGGGAGGGAACAGTGATGCATTAAATTAAACGACCGATTTCATGATATTTTTGTACTTGTGACAGTCAAAGCCTTCAGCAGGTAGTTGCTATGATTGTTCTGGTATGTGTTGTAGGTGTGGTTATTGCATTTATAAGAGCTGATATCAAGCGTGCTCTGTCAAACCCTCTGCATCAGAGGTGCTCTTCCTTGTCTTTAACGCAGGCCAGAGAGTTCTCCAGGTTTTCATCTGCTCTTGAAAACACTTCTTTCTCCCCTGTCTTTGTAATACTGACTCTCGTACTGGCCTGTGCAGCTTTTGCAGTGACACATGCTGATATGCTAGAATGCGTATTGGGAACTGGCACTTGCTAAGGTGTTCCCATATCCTGTTGTTCAGATTGCCACACACCCGTTGCCTTATTCTTCAAGCAGGCACCATCAAATTGGCCATCTCACAAACCGGGCGCACGGAGAGTGCTGTTTACAAGTATTTATTTGCAACACCCAAAAAGCACAGTTGCAAGATGTTTTTAAAAGGCATAGGTAAACAGAAGAATTTGTTTAATATGTGCTTATCACACTATACCTTTGCTTTTTGGTGCCAGACGTAGCTGGAAGGCGTACCAGGCGGTGTCCTGCCTTGCTGTCAATAGGTGCATGATAGACCCAAGTGGGGGATTCCACCTGTCTCTAGCCAAAGTGTTCCTTTAAAGTCTCGTCTTCCCTTCGTTGACACCCACCTCCACACCGTCCCTGTCTTGTGCTGATGAAGCTGTTTATGCAGCCCTGCAGGGAACCAGGCCAGGGGGCCTGTGTTCAGGTTTATCATTAACCTGGGTGTAGTCTTGGTTGCCTTTTGCCCTCTGGTCTTTCACAAGGTTGTGCTGCCGCAGTGGGGTTACAGAGTGGCTGCTGGAAGGAAGGACGAGATGGGGAGACAGTTTGCTTGAACAGCATGGGTTCAAAAAGTTCTTGATTGAGATAAGGTGCAGCAGTAATCGCCTGCTTTGGGAGTGATGCTGGAGGCTACCACTTTGCTCTGCTTTGACCCAAAGCAGACACCAAAAAGCTGGATGAATCTTGGAATATTAAGGAATAAACTGGTTTATTTTCAGGAACCTAAAAGCAATATTTGCTTAGGTATTAAAATAAAATCTTGACTGTAACCAGTGCATCTCTTTAGTCTTCTATGTATCAGTCTAAGAACAGAGCAGCCACGTGCTGCCTCTTTCACTGAGTATGAATTTCGTAGCTGTCCTCAAGGACCCCTGCTGAAAGTTTTTAAAGATTTACGGTCTGGAGTCCATCCTGTATCAATGTTATGTGGCCTTCTAGTCTTGGGGTAAAGTGCTGGGAAACTTCCAGCTTCTTATTAGATAATTCACCAGGCAGTCTTTTCCCATGTGCTTGTCTGCTCTGACAAGCAGAAAACTTCAGTGCCCTACTAACTTGTGTTTTTGTCCTACCTGAAGCACAGAATTTGCCAGGTCAGGTTTACAGAATTTATTCTGTATGATCTTTCTCAAAGAAAGAAGGAAATGACTGAAATGTCCTTACCTAATATCTGAACTAATAAGATTATTTTACTGAAAACTTTCAGTCTGTAGACTCCTTTGAAATACAATGAAATGAGCTTCAGTAACATTTTGTTTTGTGTGTTTTTTTTTTTTTTTGTGAAGTCCTGGATGAAAACAATCAGAACATCACAATCTGTGTACCTGAATTTAGCCAAGGGCTGCACAGTGATGAAAACCTCGTTACTGGCCTGGGTACTACCATTCTGTTTTGCTGCATTTTATATTCTTGGTAAGTCTGGGGTTTGCAGTTACCTCACTGTAGATGGAACGTGGTGGTCGAGCTAATGAAGGCTCAGAGTAAGCCTAATGCAAACAAAATAATGGCTAGAAATAGCACAGAATTGAGCTGGAACATTCACATTGCTACTTAATTTCAGAACGGTTAGATGTTTTGGCCACAATGCAGAAGCTTCTAATCTGAAGAAACTAGAGAGGATTCCCCCCAGACAACTGCAGTCATACGAGCAAATGATTTCCAGCAACTGGAATACTGACAATACTGGTTGGTAATTCACTCCTGAAACAGGCTGCTGTCACTGACTGGTTACTTCACTGGCAAAGCCTTTATTGAAACACTTTATTAAGTGCTGAGCCGAAGCGGTAGCAGTGAAGTCAGTGTAAAAGTATCAGTTGCGCTCAGCGGAGGAGATCTGTTCTGAGATGCAGATTGGAACGCTTTGCTGTTGTCCCTGGTCTTTGCCAGTGACAAATTCACCGCCTTTCAGGAGTGACCTACTTTTAAGCTTGTGATCAAGTCTGAGTCTGCCGGTGGCTGTCTGTCAGACTGATTTCTGCTTGTGCCGAACAAACTTCTCAGGAGCTTAGCATTTGCTGCTATATGTGAGCGATTGCTTAGCTCAAAAGCGAGAGGAGACTGCTGTGTTCCCTGTGGCAGTGAAAAATCACCCTTCTAGATTTGCAGTTACACTGCAGGTTGTGCACTGACTTTTGACACCATCTTCTTTTGCTCCTAGTTTGACTTCAACAACACGTGCAAGCTCTGAAGCGTTGAGGGGAATATATGCAGCACCTGAAACTGAAGTGAGTTCTTGCTTCTTCTCCCACAGGATTTCTGTGCAGACTTTCCTATGTGATTTTTGTTCTGTTGTTTTTATGACTAACTGAACTGCAATCAGGTAAAAGCAAAAGCTGGTTCACAGCACGCCTGTTATTTGCCCCTGGGTATGGAATTCAACAGTGCTTACTGAGTCCACCCACAATGGCCTGTCTACAGCTCTTGCTAGTCCCTTGGATGTGCCTTTATGTGCTGAAATAATCTTCCTGTTCTTTCTCTCATTTAAGATAAAAGTCTGCTGGGCCCTGAGAAACTATGCGGATAAAGAAGGGTGGGGCATTTTTATTTTTGTTTGGACATTTTCAGTTACGATTGTCTGTATTTTAACAGCAGTATTAGTGCTTTTGATCACAGGTTTTTAATCTCTTATTTTTATTTCCACATGTAATTATCACTTTTCCTTTCACCTGCAATTTCACCTCACATTGTCTTGCTTGGACCTGTTTTCTTCAACACTTGCTCCTTCATTCTACCCGTTGCTTATTTCTTTGGCCTAGTTATCGTGGAAAAACCCCAAAACCCCTTGGAAACAAGCCTATTTTTGCTGTGTAACAGTTATTGCATACATAGGCTTGACAGTGTCACACTTTGAATTATGTATTTTGCCTGAAGAATGCATCTCCATCCCTAGCTCACTTTGCTTTGGTGTTATTTTCATCTTCAGTTTTTATTTTTTCAGGCTTGAATCAAAGTTCAAAGTACTTGCAATCATCTAAAAATGCAAAAATATCTAATAAAGCAGTTAATATTTACAGCAATTGGAAGAGAGGAGGCGAACCTAGTTTAGCTAGCAGCTAGTTTAGCACGCACCAAGAGCGTTAAGGTCACTCTGCAAGTACGCTGCCCACCTGCCTATTGCTCAGGTGCCAGGCTCTGCCCCACAGCAGCCTGCCTCGCTGTTGCGCTGACTGCTGTGGTTGCGCAGTGTCAGCCCTTCCCACCTTGTGCTGAGAAGCGGGCAGGGGTGAAAATTAGAAAGAAAATAGCTGCTTTTCACATGCATCTATTTTTCCCCTTTCGGTGTTAAGCCGTGCAAACTCTCGTTCAAGGGCGCAGCAAAGCGAAGAGTGAGGGTGCAGGGTTGGGTGTAGCCAGTGATACCAAAAAGTATGTTAAGCAGTAGCCTGGACAACATGAAAACCCACCTCAGTTCCCTGATTGAGTTTCCTGGATCACCACTGCTCGATGTGCTGGCACAGCTGGGGGTTGCAGTTGAGTGTTTACTGCTAAGAAAATGCATGGTCTATAGCTTCAGGGTTAACATCAGCTCTGTACCCACTGCATACAGAGTAGTTGGCGCTGGCTGGTGCAGTTGGAGCTGCTGGCCAGTGGATGTGGCCTGTTTGCAGAGGAGGTCGAGCTCTTGCACTGCAGCACTTGCCAAGAGGATTATTTCTGGACCATTTGGTTTTAAAGAGCAGTACAAGAGCTGTTGAATGTAAATATAAGGAAATGACTGGCAGAGAGCAACTAATTGCATTCTGATTGTCTTCTCTGTGGTAAAGGGCCTTTGTCTTCGCACCAGAAACGTAAACATAATTCTGCGATTGCCTGTGTTACACAGAAAGTCTTTCAGCGTCTTTCAGCGTCGAAGCTGAAGATAGTTAGCCGTTGTGAAGGGTTAGTTGTCTGTGTGCCAGCGTTGCTAATTGCGTCACTGTTTGTAGAATGACTTAATTTCTGATAAATGCAGCTAAGTTTAAAAATTACTTGGGGGAACGTAGCACTTGCTTCAGAAACCTGATACAGCCAAAGGGAAACTAAACCGAACACTGCAATTAGCATCACAGTAGAAAGGACCTGTTAATCTGTTGAAACATGAAATAAGAAGTTTTTTTTTTAAACTATCAACCAATCTCTTTTCATTAATTTATGAACCCAGAGAATACATTTAGTCATAGGTATGCAGGAGAAAAACTGTTGTTTGAGAATTCTGTTGGAAATTGAATCTTAAAAGCCTATTAACGTTTTTGAGTTGTTTGATATGTTATCAGGCTGCAACAAAAGTATAATTCTCCAAGTATAACCTCCAAGTGTAATTCTATCGGAACAAGTAATGTTGGTGATGCAGTACAGAAAGTGCTGACTTGTACTGTGGTCTGGTGCAGAAAATGCACTTAGTAACATATTTATTGTACTGTCAGCATCTTTTTTCTCATTTACATTACCACTCAACACAAGGAGTTCTGACCCATCAGTGAACAGTTTCAGCTTTCCGTTTTCCATCAGTTAAAAAAAAAAAAAACAACCCTCATTTAAATGAAGCAGTAACAATAGTCTTTTATTTGTACTCATTCTGGCTCCATTTCAGTACGGATGAGTACGTTTCAGACATAGGATTGTGCAACTGATTTCCATCCAGTGCAGCAGGATGTTGAGCGTTCCTTGCATCTTCATTTCCGTAGGGAAAATTTTATTTAAAAAGCACTCAGATGCTAGTCTAAAGAGGTAAGTCCACTCTGCAGTATAAACGTGCAGCCATTTTATTGTATCTGTTCAAGCAATTTATTATAGCTTGCTTGCACTGTAATATTCCTACCAGTGCTTGATCGTAAATTGTCTAAAATGTCTCAATAGTCATTCTTAAAGAATGGTTAATTTGCACCAAAGCTTACTGAATAGTTTTTTCCAAAGCTGAGAAACTGCTATTATGAACTACTTAGCTGATCCTAATTTGAATTTTGTGTTTCTTGGAAATATAGAAGAGATTTTTCTTTGCTAGTGTCTGTAGTTTAGTAGACATAGCCGACCTTCTTCACCACCTGTTCTGTTTCTTCGTTGTTAGGCAGGTTCTAACCCTTGTTGTTCTTTCTTTCACAGGTAGCTCGTTGCTGCTTTTGCTGTATGCCCGACGGAGACGGTAATTACATATTCACTGCACAACTTACCTAGCTTGTGGCTTTCAGACCAAACCAAAGAAGATAAAAGACACAGCTGCAAGTGGAGAGATTCCTGTATCCTAATTCTGTAGCGTGTCAAACTGAAGCAGCTGATAAACTCAAGCAACACAGTAGAGGAGGAAGGGGAGCAAGAGACGTAATACTACCATTTTACAACTGCAGACTAGTTAATAATTCCTTAAAGGAAGGCTCTTTAGCGTAACGTACAAAGAGGAATCTCTGCTCTTTGTGTGCATGTAGGTGTGACTGCCAGATTTGTGGGCTCAGCCGCTCTGCAGTTCCTTCAGTCCCTGCTCCCCATGCCTGAGCCCAGGAGGGGGTGCCCTTTTTGCAGACCTGTTACAGTCAGGGCTCTCCATTTGCCGGAAAAATATCCTACAGGGTAGACCATTTCAAATGCTCCAAATGCTCAAAAAACAGCTGGTAGGCCAGGAACTTGATATAGGGCAGCATTTCAGTAGCAGTCCCCTTTATTTCAGTAAAGGCTTAGGACAAGGAAGTGTTGCTCTGTACCAGGCTTTGCTAAGTCACACCAAAGACTTCTTGCTTATAGTAATCTATGCTTCATGAAACTGGCTGCTGTTTTCAGTTCTCATTACGTTTGCAAAAGCTTTCTTGTTTCCCATCTCTTACAGTTGATGCTGAAGAGCACACTGAAAACAGGGGAGGCCAGACTGTGATTTATGATGAAAAGAAAAGCACAGTGTACAGTTATGCCTACTTCCACTTTGTTTTCTTCTTGGCTTCGCTCTATGTGATGATGACAGTAACTCATTGGTTCCAGTAAGTGTATTTCTTTAAAGCTGAGAAATGAATGTCTTTGTGCATTAAGAGAGGGGAGCTACAAATGGGAATTCCTCCCGTTAGATGAGTGTCTTGTCTCCTGAAGTAGGAAGCTGGAAGAAAGGATCCGAGTCTCTCCTGGGGGATTCCTGAGCAAGGTTTTGTTGTGTAAAGAGCTGCTCTCCCCTGCCTCAGGTCTGGGTTAAGTTACTTGAGGTCTGTGACCCACTCAGAAAAGCAGAGGGTACTTCAGTCTGAGATGTGAACAGATGTGCATAGTGAGTTTATTGCCTTTTTTTTTTTTCTTTAACAGTTATGAAAGCGCTCAGATTGAAAAATTCTTCACTGGAACCTGGTCCATCTTCTGGATTAAGATGGTCTCCTGTTGGGTTTGTGTCTTTCTGTATTTATGGACTCTAATTGCTCCACTCTGTTGCCCAACCAGACAGTTCTCAGTATGAACACTCAGAAGGTCCCCTTTTTTTTTCCTTTGTTTTTCTGTTACAAATAAAGTACCGCAGTCACTTTATAATGAGGAAATATCTATTGCCTAGTTTTCATAATGTACTAGTTAGTAACTTTTTAGCCAGACGAAACTAGTGATTGAAGACTTTTTTAACCTTTTCTAATTGTCATGAACAAATGGTGTCCCAGGGAACGTGTCTGTTCAAAGATGTTTGTAACACTGATGTGTAGAGCATAGGAAACGTGGTTGTTACATAAACTGGAATAAGTGAAATGCTTTTGGAATAACTGACAATCTTTCTCCAACTTCTTTGGCAAGAAAAGAAAAAAAAAATGGTGCAAATGTATGTTCTTCCTTCCTGTCAGTGTTGGGTATCTTCTAGCAAGTATGCATTCCTTTTTATACTCTTTTATTAACTATGTCTTTTACAGTGATTGCAGTAGTGGTTTGGACTGCTATTTTGTACAGCGTATAATTCTCTAAAGTAGTCTCCAGATTTTTTCCCCAAAAATGCACCTAAATACTTTTGTAGAAATAGAGAATATGTAAGAATTTGACTGCCAAAGCATCTACTAAAAATTGTTTAACTAAATATTAAATATATTAAGTTATTGCAAACATAGTATGAGAAAGGAATGTACCAATGATAACAGAGTATTTATGCTATTATAACTTAAAAAAGGCACCTGGATATTTTATGTAATTCCAAACTCGTCCAGTTATTAACAGAAGGGATGTTTGCACACCGAAATTCTTAAAGCCTTAATTTTGACCAGTTTTGCTTTGCCGGATCAGTTAACTGCAAACTGTGTTCTGTACAGGGATATATGATACGGTACATTCTTTATTCAGAATGTTTGCTGTTGCAGGAATGCTAATTACAGGAACTTTGCCAGTTGCTGATAACTTTAAAAGTGAAGTGCTCAGTTACTATTGTAACCTGCTGTTTCAACTTGTATCTAAAGACTTCCCAGGCTCTTCAGTTCTGTTTTCATTACCAGTTTTATAATATTTAAAATGTAGTGAGAGTCAGAAAAAGGACTTCAGTGTGTTATCTTCCTTTTCTGCCTATGTATTGGTTGGAAAATGATCTAATTTTATATTTTTATACTTCTCTGTTAGAATTTTGCTGTAGGAATGGGAGTTAGCCAACCAATCCATTAATAGAGACTAAACTTCTTTTGGAGAACTTGTGCTCCAAGCAGTGGGATAAGCAGTCAAAAAAATAAAACCAGAAAACACAGATGTGGCAGCAGCTGCCTTAGTAAAAATGGCTGACTTGACAATATTAAAGCCCACCATGTCACTTTTATTTGCTCTAAGTAGATGAGTTGCTGGCAGAACAACACTTCAGACTTTTTAAATGCTGAATAAGGTTGAACCCACATTAGATATCCACATCTCTGCGGGATAAACTTATGACTTATGTTAGTTCCAGAATTTTTTCTCTTTCTCTCAGACACGAAATATTCAGCATATAAATCAACTTATGTAGCGTTTCTGTTCTTAAATACAGTTGAGCCTTAAATCTTCACCTGATGCTTTCTACAAAATAGAGAAAAGCACAACATAGAGGCCAACAAGATGGCCAAAATATTCGCGTGTCTTACTTGTTCTGATGCAGTAATTGACAGCTAATGCACACTGGTGAATAACCTTAACATGCGAGGTACCAGTTGTGCTACTGCTGTCTTTAACACTTCTAGCTGCCTTGTTGCTCTGGAATCGTGGGGGTCCTGCCCTGGGGAGAGCTCGCTAGGGGTGCGATCTGCCCAACTCCGTGTGCTGTCACCTCAAACATTAAGTCCACAGGCCTGCAGTCCTCGAAACTTAAGGTACCTACCCCAGTGATCAGGAGCGCACCAACCCTCAGAATACCGCTATCATGTAATCTGATGAGGGAAACTGGGGGGGAAAAGGCTGCCTGTAGGTGAACTCTTGCTCCTCTTCTCCCTGTTTGTTTCTAGAGGAAGAAGGTAGTTGAGTTATGAAAGCAGCAAATAGCTTTGGAGATAGAGGCAAGTTTTTATCTTTTTTTTTCTTTCTTTTTTGCTTCTGCTAGGAGGTTCTAATCTTGCCAAGATCTCTGCTAGCATGAGGGCCCATCTCTATGTCTCTGACTGTGCTTGGAGTCTGGCCACACAGATCTTTTTGCAGCAGAAGGGCCTTTGTTAATGCATTAACAAACCAGAAGTGTTTATCTGTCCCATCTCTTAAGATGAGAGCTTACGGACTGTGCAATGAAGACTAACAGTTGTCTCACCTAACATGTAGTGGCTATTCTGACAAATGGTCTTGATTCAATGTTAAACTGCAACTGAGATGGTGCAGACTCCCACCCCCTCCCCAGGTAAATGCTGTTCCCTTATGTACAGAGGCTTGTAGGAGTTGCCACAGATATCTTGTAGTATGAGAAATCAAGCATATTTCACTAAAATTAGCAATAGGTTTTTTTTAGAACAATCTGTGGGCAAGGAGCCCTACAGAAGAAAGCATGCAATATGTCGAGTTGTAGGGGCAGGGAATGGTAACCGTTCTGTGTCTATTAAAAAGCATCTCAGTCACAAATGTGGATAATCTTAGGCCATATCTTGGCCAATGGGTGTTTTTATTGGTTTACAAAAATACTTGCTTTGTGTAGGCAGTACCAGCCTCCATAAAGTCTTCATATACCTCCTCATGCTCATTTTTTATAGTTTGTATTTAGGGAAATAGCTTTTTTCTGGAGGAAACAGGGTCATAAGAGGAAAGTCCAGAGTGAGGCGTGAATCTGTTCGTCTTACACAGCGCTTGCCTCGCTGAGTTACTCCTTCATCCTTCCGGTCCACCCGCTGTTGACCTTAAACATCAAGGTCTGCAGGTATACCTAGGATGGGAATGGGGCGATGTGGGACTCCTCTGCTTTGTTTGCTTCTAAGCTACTATTGTGGGAGAAGACTCCAAAAATAACTTTTAGTTGGACCTGGCTGTCCACACAGAGGCCCCAGATCCCACTGTGGATCTGAGGCCTTTCCGAGGAAACGGCAATTGTTGGGCGCCTCACCGTGCAAAGCCTCCATTTCCTTAGCGAAGAATGATTTCCTGCAGAGTAGGCAAATATAACAGAATTAGCGTTAGTTGTAAAAGCTGTACTGTGAACTTCCTGCACGCAACTACTTAATAAAATCCCAGGCTAGGATTTTTGAGATTCAGATGTCCAGTTCATACATTATAAACAGTTCACACAGGGGCTTTTTAATTTTTTCTAAGTGCCTTCAGGCATACTGTTCTTAGAGCTAATAATTCAGGTGGCACTGGAACTGGAAAACCCGAACTGAGCCTGTGACTGGGCGAAGCTGCCTTGTGCGTTACACCTGACGTGCACACGATGCAGTCATGCTGGCTGTACCTGTGGAAGACCACATAATCTGTGCTTGACAAACTGCTGTGGGGGAGCCTGATTTGGGATGTGACTGTACAGGGGAAAGTGAACTGGGAAAACTCGCAGATCGTCTGATGCTTTAGTAAATGAATGAAAGTGGTTGTTGCTTACACTTGCATTTAAACCGTAAGCAGAACTTTCTCTCTCCACACCTTAAAGTGCAGTTAACCGCCCTGCTCGGTGTGGTTAGCTGTGCAGCATCCCTGCGTGGACGCACGCCTCGTCCCACGATTGCTCGTTCCTGAACAGAAACGGGCTGTGCGCTGCTTCTGTGCCCTCGTAACTTTGAGCTGTGTGAAGCGAGCAAGCTGTCAGTTTTAAAGATGGGAACACTAGACAACATGTCCTCTTCTCCTAGTTTAACTTGAATTTGAACTGAAGTTATAGTTTAATTGCCTCTTGGAGGAACAGAGGGTGTTGGCAGAAGTTAGTCCTGCGGGGAGGATGGAGTTATTTTATTGGTGGTGTTTTATTTTTTTCAAATTCCCTATTGGAGGGAAAGTTATTTGGAAGCTCACTGCTGCACTTCTGCCTGCAACTGGAACAATTTTACTTTTTCTCATGAAGGCAGCTGAGAGCCCAAAATATTATTGGTTCTCTTTTGGGGTAAAACCGAGGGGACAGACTCGGAGAGCAAGCATCCAAATTCAAACTCCTGACCTAACAAATGAAGCTATGAAATCTGATGAAGAACGCATGGAAAGCAAATGGATCTGCTTGTCTACTGTTTACCACCTGGTTCCTCAGAGTATGCAGGCTGCCCTTGCGGGTGGTGAAGAACTGCACTGTGATCGCAAATCAGAATCATGCTTACGCGAGACTTTTAACTTTGTACTTCAAGAGTTTCCATGAGGTTTGAAAAGCTCATACTTACCCAGCTAATTCAATAAATCCTTGCTGGATGGGCCACTTTCTTTTGAAACGGGTAATTCAGTGTTGCTAATGTATGCGTAGCCCAGAGAGGGGGCTTATCCCTCGCAGAATCATGAACACTGCATGTCTATTTATTTATTTATTTATTTTATGTTTTAGCACCTTTACAAATCTTGAAGAGCTTTGATATTACAAGCTATGCACATGTAACTACTTCACCAGCCACTAGTGCAGATATGTCTGGGCTAGAACGTTGCTCTTAAGGCAGCCATCCCACTTGCAAAATAGCTGGTTTCTGACAACTCTCTATTTCTAACCAATGCATCAGGAGAATTTGGAAACTCAGGATATCACTGCTTTAACTTTAGCTAGCAGCCCACAATGTCATGGGGATCTCTGAACTGATTGGTAACAGAATAATTCACTGTCTGCTTTTATAACATATTATGAATGTTTTATGCTATGAACAATTTAGGCTTTTCTCTTAAATAAGTTTGTGAAACAAAATACCGTGAGAGTATGTATGACTAGATAAGTAAGCAACATTATCTGCAGCTACAATTTTATTGTCATCTTTACCTAGGAGCTTTAGAAGCAGTTGTATATCTTTTCCTTGCAGGCCGTATTCCCTTTCATTTTATTTGCCTTCTCTCCTTGGATGTGTTTTTTGAAGGTATTGTAAACCTGCTTAGCTCGCGTTCTGCTCCCTGTCAATCGGGGTGTTTTCGGGGGTAGAAACTTCCTTGCCAGCTGTAGACAATCCTTTCCTTTTTATAGGAGGACAACCTGCAGCGTTGAAGCAAAGTTGAGGATCATGATTTTATATTTGGATTCGTTTTTGCTATGTGAAAACTGTATCTTTTGTTTTCTGAAATGGCCTGTTCCCCCTTGTTTGCAAGTTCTTGTGGGAGGAAAACACATAATCAGTGCCGTGAAATTTTACTTTCTGTGTGCTCAATTTTGTAAACACGAGTTTGAACTGAGTGTTTCACATGACTGTAAAAGGCAACGCCGGGGTCAAGAGCTTAGAAAGCTTTGGCTTTTTATACTCTTAACAGGATATGTAGCTTGGGAACTGATATGTCTCTGCCTTTTCGACATCGAAAAGGCATAATGCCTGAGTGCCCTAAAATGAGGATATGGATATGCAGCGCAGTGTTTCGATCTGAAACTTTGGACTTGAGGTCAGAAGATTGGCAGGACGACCACTTTTTAATGCCAGAAGAAATTTTGTAGTTTTCAAGTAGGCCTTCAATCCACTTATCTTTTTCTTCCGTGTCTGATTTAGAATGGTTCCTCACCAGTTTAATAATACATTATTAGAAAAAAAATAGTCTGAATTTATTTAAAATATAAACCAAATTGGCTTCCCCCATTTCTCAGTCTCTGATAGCTCCGACTACTGTAGAATATAAGCCATTTGCACAGACTTCTTGGGAGTTGCAGTTGTCGGCTTTGAAATCTTTCCAACCTCTTGAAGCTTCCAAGGCTTTTGTTAGTCAGAGCTGTGGGGTGCAGCAGGGGGACTGGTTTTGCCAAAGAATTCTCAGTCCGAAGCCAAGAAAAATTTCATACCGTAGCTTTGTTTTTCTCTTACTGATACATGTCCAGGTGCTTAGGTGGTGTTGGATATCTGTGCAAACTTAAAGTAATGAAAATTATTTTATCAACTTATCATGCAAAAGCTGAGGAAATATTTACCAGGAACATACACAGTCAATTGCCTGCTTTTTACTTACCACAAATCCATGTTGTTTAGCCTCTTGTATGGCAGGTTCAAAAACTGGATGCAAACTATTCAAAATTGAAATACTTTTTCTTAATGGTGAGGGGGTTTTAATTAGTCCTTTTTAAGGTTCTTAATATCTCAAGGGAACTTTTTTGGTGTGTGTGTGGTTTTATGTTATTAAGCTATAGCCCAGTGAAATGGAGGTTTGCTAGTTTATTTAACATTTTTTGTGAATGTTGTGGTCCGTAGTACCTGTAACACTTCTTTGACAGAACTCTAAGAACCTAATTGTAAAATAGCAAACAGCTTTGCCTTTTTAAAGCATGTTAATGGTTTTTACGAACACTTCCTTTTCTATACTGAGTGAATGTATTATTATAGATTTAATGTTTAATGGACCAATAAAGTTTTTCTTATGTTTGAAATGAATTGTTGTGGTGTATAAAATTGTAAAATCCACTCATTTTAAGAGAAATTTTACATAAATATGAATACATGAACTCCAGAATTACTGACCAGGTAAAAGTAAATCGATTACTCTTTCTTGTTCATGTAGTTTGCCTGTGGTCTAACAGGAAGAGGTTGGCCTATGGAAGATTATGTGGCTTTTTCTATACATGTTATTTTATGCTCCCCCAGCACATGATCACAGAACATTGTAGACTTGCATGGATTTGTCAGCGGAATCTGTTCTGCATACTTTGATTCTCTGAGATGTGTCAGATACCACTGAAAGTGCAAACAAAATATTCTTCAGGCTAAGTATAGCACTGAAGCCTGTGCAATTGTGTTAAACACCGATTTCTGATTTTTCTCAGTTGGCCAAATGGCGAGATAGGCAGCTGCTGAACGGGGAACCTAGATCTGTGTTGAAGAAAATGCTGCATTTCAGCCCTGGTCTCCTGCTTTCCACCTTTCTCTGTGCAGGCTGCCATTAAGCAAGCGGGGTTTCAGCGTGTCCTACCTGCAGCTGCCTTTTGGCACTCATTGGTGACGTGACTGACTCATTGGTGACGTGACTGAGTTCACCAGAGCCAGGCCAGTAGCTTGCTTGGTTGGGACACGAGCTTCTCGTGGCTGTGAGTTGTGGCTGGCAGAGTCTGAGGGTGCCCACCTGAGCTCGGCGTTGGGGCAGCAGGGCAGAGATGGCAGCTCCCGCGTTGCGCTGAGGGTCTGTTGGCACCTGTGACCTTGGTCGCGCACCTCTTGTGGGCTGGGGCGCCTTGTCCCACTCGAGCCCCCATGGGACTCTGGTCTTTTCTCATAGCTCAGCTCTGGAAATGGGCTTTAGGGAACAGAAGCATTTGAAGTGTATTTGTCATGGTTTTTGTAGCACTCAGGAAAGAGTTAACCTTTGGTGAGGTTTTTGACCCTCCTGTGCTTGAGCTGTGCACCAAAGTACTTGCAGATGCTGCTTAGGGCTAACTGCAGCTTAGTGTGTTAGGCTGTGTGTGGCAAGAAAGGACTGTGTGCTCTGTTTTAGAGATGTGGGATTGTAATGTCTTCATTTTCCAAAGGCCACACGTGAAGCTCTGTCCACGTTGCACAGTGGTCCAGGAAGAGGTGATGGTGCAAGTGGAGGTTGTTTGAATGCTTATACACAGGAACTGCCATCTCCGAAGGAAACTTGCGGGGGTGGGAGGGTTTCCCAAGCCTCGAGTGTGACCTTGGGGCAAGTCTGTGTCTGCGGGAGTGAGACTGCAGTTTTGAATTTGCTGGCCATCCAGCAGCTAGGAAAGTCTGCTGTGGTGATATACCGTGGTGAGCTCTAGCATCCATTTGTGTAGTCCCAAAAGTCGCCTTCTGAAACAAGAGCCAACAAGCTGTTCTGGCTGGCAGAGCTCTGACTACCTCCTGTGCCTGGCAGTTTAGCAAGCAAATCCCTTCTCCCGGGGGGGGGGTGTCAGAAGCTCCCAGCCACAACACACAGCTTTGTGCAATTACTTTTGGCAGCCCAAAAGCCAGAGGTAGCTTGTCTTCCAGCATCCTGTCGCCGACTGCAGGGAGCTTGGCTGCGCTGTAGGCTGGGAGAGTACCGGGAACTGGGCAAGCTCCAAGGCGGTCTCCTAGTCATCGAGCAGGAGGAGAGCCTCCAGCCACAGGCAGGGGGGCTGGAGGGATGTTCGGTGGCTGGTTTGCCCCCTTCGTGTTTCCCAGCTGAGGTCAGCATGCATCAAGTCTGCTGCAGCCAGACAGCAGGGTAGTTTGGGATGGCCCTGGCCTGCTGGGGTTGCTCTGCGCAGCCCAGCTGTGCAAACGTGTGCGCTCCAAGCCAGATGGCCCCAGCTGTGTTGGGTCCATGATGTACATGCTATTAGTAACTTTCTTCTGCCGAGACTGCCTGAAAAAACCTTCAGACACAATTTCTGCCTGGAAAAGAGGCTACATCCAGGGAAACACAAATGCATAAAAATGGAAGGTATCAATTTTCTTTGTGATCGGGATTCTAGTTCATCACTGAATGATACTGCACTTACTTATAGTCTATGTACAGCTAGAAGAGGATTTTTTTTTTCCTCAGCGTTTAAGTACAATTTGATCAAAACATGTTAATATCCTCTGTGTTACCCCTGAGTAAATGGGCTTTCAATCCTCCGTTGAGAACTTGGTGAGCAAAGTTGGATTTAGTGACACCAACAGGAAAAGACTGAAAGTGGCGGCCTTGTCATGAGAAAGCGTGGTCCCAGGCGCTCGGCTGCCCCACGGGGTCCTCCAGCATCCATTGTGGTGGCTGCCTGAGGGGACTGGGCCCAGGGCTGCCCTCATGGCAGAAGCCTTTGCAGTGAAAAATGTGGTTAAAGCTCTCCCTGTAGCCAAGTCCTCTGATAGCATCAAAGCCTTAAGGGTATTTTTATTGTAATGGGAACAGGAACCTTCTCCTTCTTTCGATAGGGTCAGCTTATAATTCAATCCAGTTGCCCCCCCCCCCCCCCCTCCAAGTCTTGTACTGGGAAACAAGAGTTGCTGGTCATTGTGTCAGCGCTACTTGTGATTTTTTTAGCCCCCTCTCTTCCCCTCCCCGCCAATCATATCCCTCTGCCTCTTTTCTTGCCAAGTGAAAGCACTGTTTCCTCTTGCCCTTCTTAAAGGACTTGTTCTATCACCTGGACTTTTTTTTTTCCTGCAGCTTTTCTTGGCTGTTGTCTTACCTTCCTTTCCTAGCTCCATTCTGAAAAAGGCTGCACTAGAAGAGAAGGGCACACTGTCTTTTACACAGTGCAGTGATGAGGCTTTTTTTTTTTTTTTTTTTTTGCTTTCTTTCATTTTTCCCATTTCTTTCCTAATGGTTCCGAACACTTAATTCAATCTTTTTTTTTTAATTTAGTGACTTATTTTCATAAGATTGTAATACCTGTTCAAAGAGCTCAGCACTGAATGGGGACAGCAGGTCAAAGCCTGGCTTTGAGTCTGTGAAAGTTAGGATTTTTTTCTCTGCAGGGATGATTCTGCCTTTATCTCCATGTGTTTGGTTTGTTTGTTTTAATCTCGCTTTTCAAGTGCAAGTCACGCAGCGCAGCGTTTGAGATCTGAATACAATTCCCTGCGGTCAGCTTTTTTGCTGTTGTTGTTACAAGATGTGATAGTGTACTCTCAGTTCTCCAGGGCAGGGAGGGGAGAGCTCTAATAGAGCTCTCTTGGAAGAGGTCTCCCAAGGAGTTAAACAGCCCTAAAGGAGGTAAGACTTCTTCCTTTGTTACCAGGGACCCGTAAGTAGGCCTGGAAAAGCTACTGAGAAGCGCTCTGCTTTGACAGGCAGCTCCCATCTCTACCAACACTCACTCCATGCTCAGTGCAGCCTCTCTTCTTCTGTCTCTGTGACGTCTTAGCTTCTGCCACACACCAGACAGGGCAATTTTGTCTTTCTTCCCTCCTCATTGGTTAATACTAAATCCAAGATAGCAACAGAGTCAAACTGATCCTGAGAATGTTTTAAGCAGGTGTCTAAACTCTATGAGGATTCATGTAGTGTAAAGAGCACCTTGGAAAATAAGTAAGCCCCAGTCTCTTTTGTCTCCTTTTTATTTTCATACAAAAAAAAGTTTGACATAGTTACATCAATGAGAAAAAGCTGCGGGCTGCACTCTTGCAACAACAACCATATAAGGATTTAAAATACATTGTTTTATTGTTTGCAATAGCAATGTTAGTTTGCCTTTCTTTCTTAAATATCACCAACACCAAATTGCTGAGCTTGAAATTCCTGAAAGTCCTCTGGGATTGTGTCTGAAAACAGGAAAACATGCAAAAGTTTAGTCTCTTCTAACAAAACCAAGGCACACTTAAGAAGTTAATGAATTATCCAACTTTAAGAAAAAAAAAAGGTAACTTAAATGTCTTTTGCCTACATATTAAGAGTGAACTGGAAATATTTTAGCCCCCCTGCTGCTAAAAAGCATCGAGAGGCTAGCAAGACAGTGACTGCTACAATGAAAGCCTATAATGGAGTACTTACTTACCCATTTACAAATCACATTTCCTCCTGAAAACTTCACAGCTTACATTTATTTGTATTAATGAACACTGAACACAAAGGAGGAAAAAGTTTGTCTCGCTCTGTACCCAGGATCTGTACTGCCAGCTTCTCTATTATTTCTCATGTATCCTAATTCAGCTTCCTCTGTGACAGTTTTTCATGCTGCAGGAGAGGACAGAAACACTAACCTGGGACCATAGCAGCTGTTAGAAAACAAATGCAAAATTGGTAAAGGGAGCTGGAGATGAGTCCATGTCACAAGAATAACTGCCATTCTGTTTTAACATTGAGTTTACAGCATCCCTTTGCCAGCTCCCAGGATGCGTTACCTGCACAGATTCACAACAATGAAACTGAACTAGCTGACCTCAGCTTCGATTTGATTATTTTCAGTCACCCTAGACTAAGAAAGGAAATAACTATATAACCACGTACGGTATAGAAAGCATGTGGCAAGGCCTCTGCTGTCTTTGACTGTTGTTTTGGTCACTTTTTTTTTTTTTTTGAGGCTTGAAAAGTCTTCTTCTCAAGCTTTTTCTGCAAATGGAGAAGCTAGCCTAAAAATGAAAGAAGGGATGCCTAGGAACTCCAGAGACTGCCCCAAATGGGTTCTGTTGAATCACTGCAACACTGGCAGCAAAGCCAGTGCCTGCTCACCGCCAGGAAAGTCTGAGACTGTGGTGGCAGCTTTGAAACATGCTCTCTGGGAAACAGTGTACTGTTTGGGACTCGCAACAAGTAATTTTTACTTGTAAGCACCATTTTCTTTTTTAGAAGTTCCCTTGTTTAACCATCACTCACATGTGTCAGCCTGTGAATACCAAGTGCCCGAGAACAAAGGTCCTTCACTGGAAGACGCTGCAGAGCCAGGGCCCATCCCTGCAGCGTCCGTGTCCACTGCAGAGTTGGGCTGGGCTTTCTGGATCCACAGAAAGCAAACAGGAAACAATTCCAACTTGGCCCGCAACTTATTTTCCTATGGCTGCCTCGGGCAGGCAGGGGTTGATGTGGGAGGAGAGAGAAGACCCTCCACCCCCTGTTCTATCTAGCTGAACTGCTGCTGGGGCAGAAACAGCTGGATGTGATCAGACTGTGCGAGTTGTCAAGGTTTAATATATTTTATATAGTGGGAGATCAGGGCTAAGCTGCAAGGCTCTTATCCCAACTGGAGAGAGCCAGTGTGCTTCCACAGAGTCTGAGGAGGATTTCTCCCTGTGAAAAGGGCATCTTACCATCTTGTCCTCCTACAGGCAAGAGCAAGTACACAAGTGATGCTGCCTCCTGGTGACTGATCCCCCTGGATCTCCAGATTTTGTTTCACCTTGTACTCAGCACTCAGGGCAATCCTATATGCATAATGTCCTCAGTAAATTGTGCGTATACAACTCCCACAACAGCACTAGCTTTCGGTTGGTTGCTTTTAAATAACGTTTCTAATTCTCTGATGACAGCTATACTACTTAGTTGGCACAATCTCTGTAGCAGAGTGACTGCTCTGGGAGGAGCAGCTCTGAGGCGTTAGTTCCCGTCTGGCTGGGTTGCAGTGCGTTGCTGGTGTCAGGGGAGGTGTTTCACAGCTGTGAATAACTTGAAAATGAAAAGCAAAGGCAAGGGTGCGAGATGGCTTAATCCAACAACTACAATACCGATTCCCAACTGTCACTTGCTAGTCGCTAGCTAAAACGCCATAAGAGAAACATTACCATTGCAGCGATATTTCAGGTTTGACCAAATGATGTTTTCCTGAGAGAAGCAGAAAACTCCAAGCCGTCCACCACGCATAGTGGTGTCTATAGTTACACCAGAGTCTGCCACTAGGTCAGAGCCTTCATAAAATCTTGCCCTTAAAAAAGCAAACAAAACAGCTGTTAAGTCTTTTCTGAGGCTGTAATATTTGAGTATTTGTTTCATTATCTGTTTTTGATTACAGCCTTGGACATGCTGTCCTCCCCACACCTAGCACAGGGGCAAAAAAGCACTTCAGTTAGCTCCTTTGCAGGTTGGGAATTGGAGCGATGCTGTGCTCTAGCAGGAGCTGGGGAGAGGGTTTTTTTTTTTTTTTAAAAAAAAAAAAAAGCATCCCCCAAGAGCCTTGGACTGTTTTTTCCTGTCCTCAGTCAGGCTGAGGGGTTTAATTCCTGGCATTTCCCACAGCTGATAATTATGGGGGGAAGAGAGAATCAGATTAGATCAGCTGAAGACGACCAGATGGATTCTGTCTCACACAGTTTGTATATTTAAAAAAAAAAGTTTAGCTTCGAAGTTTCAAACAAACCATTTGGAGTCTTAAAGCTGCTTCCTTGACTGTGAGATTTCTTTTAAAATGTAAGATTAATTATAGGAAAAGTTTTGATGATCTAGCATCTTGTTAGAAGAATTGTCAGAAAATTCTCAAATAACTCTGGAAGTAGTTGCACGCTGCCAGATTCCCAACGCTTGCCCTGTACTGAGAGCCCAAGCGGGACCATGCTGGAGCCAGCTGAGCTATCACAGTATTGGCTGCATCGTGTCCTTGGCCCCCGAGGTAGTCGTAAAGGATGTACAGGAGGAAGAGCCTGAAGGGCCCTGTTTTAGATGAGAGCGCCACTGTATTAGGAGCTGGTCTGACATGCAAGAAAACAGGGGTTGGTGAAAATAAGGAAAGCTCCTATGTCTCCTCATAAAATAGGAAAAAAAAAAATTCCTGTTATGTTCAAGTTTACTTCCTGATTTGCTGAGGCAGGTCAGAAGTATCTGCACAATGAATGACGCTTGTTGTCTTTCAAATTTCCGTGGGAAAGGTTGGCTCAAGTGTCTTTTACCTGGGCTTCCTTGAAGCATCAGAAGAGCTTTGCTAGACATGTTATGCTCTGCAACAACTAGCGTAAGCAGACTGCAGTTGAGATGCAGGCAGCGACCCATTTTGGGCCTGACTGCCTTTCGTTTGAAGGCTTTTGTAACGCTGACTGCCACCTTCTGCAGTTTGGGGGGATGTTAGTTAGGACAACTAGAGAGCCTGTGGCCACACACAGCTGTTTGCTTATGAAGCAGCTTCACAAGCAGCTTGATTTAAAGAAAAGTTGCCACCCCAAGTCCATTCATTACTGCCCAGTGGCTGGGATGGAAAAACTGACGGTACAAGCATGCTTAATCTATTTTAGCATAAAGTCAAACGCGCTTACTCTAATCCCCCCCAGAAGATGATCTAAGTTGCTTTGCAACAAAAAAGTGGAATTATTATACCACCACGTTACTGTATCTCAACTGCAGGGTGGTGATTTCATGAAGATCAACTCTGTTCTCCTTGTGTTTCTGTTCTTAGCTTTCTCTGAAATATTATAAGGTTGCAAAACCTGGGCTGATGATGCCAGTGCAATTTATTTTTTTGCATTTTACAGTGGTCAGTAGTAGCTTGAAAAAACAAGTTATTAAAGCCAGAAAAGGGAAGTTCAGCTATTAGCACAGGGCACAGTTACAATACCCAGATAAACAGGCTTAGCTTGGAATTGTCTGACCTAGGAAGAGAACTGCAGGTGAAATTTCACAAGTCTAAACTGTAATAATGCTTCATCACTGCAAAGCCCTGACATATTGTAAATTCTGATTATTATCTAAATTAGGTGTTGAGAAACAATAGTTCAGTTAGAAGTGTATATATACACTCACCTTCTCTATCCTTTGCTCTCTTACCTGATATATCCTATTTGGGGTCTGTGCTGCAAAAACCAGCGGTAGGAGACTTTATCTTTCCATCCGACGTTTCTGGGGTCCTTCCACAACAGCCTGACCTGATCGTTGGTGTCCCCCGTGTGCCAGAGGGAATTGCGGAGATGCTCTCCAGGGCCTGTCTTTGATTTCACAGCCTGCAGAAATAAAATTGTTTTCCACTACTGACCTCAGGGAAGCGTCACCTTCAGGAGCTCCAAGTCTTTTTGTGGCAGGGAGCAGGTCTGCAGAAGCACCTTCCTTCCTGTTTCCAAACCCATAACGTCTTTCATAACTGCAGCCACTGCTTGCATGGAAAAGCAACGGAATTTATTTCTTCTCTGAATACCTGGGACCAAGGAGAAACAGGCTGCTTGGCCAAGCCACAGGTGGGAGCAGAGGTTTCCCACCAACAAGACTAGCTTTGACAACAGTACACCATTGCTCATAAAGAGGTTAAATTAAATCTCTGAATGTGTTTGTTTCCGTGTTTCTAAAGGTCTGTTTAAGTTCTAATTTGACCAATTACAGCCAGCCCATCATCAGAGTAGAGACTAAATGCTCCAGCTGGAGATGAAGTTTCTTAGAAAACTGTGCAACCAATGGGGCTGCACTGCCGCTTTGACACCCAGGGTGCGGGGAGAGAACGGCCGAGTGGGCCGGAGGTGCAGCAGGGCCAACACACGGCATGATGGGGTGGCCCACGGCAGAGCCAGCCGGCGAGGCAGCGCGGCCGATGCGCAGTGTGACAGCGTAGCCACGCTGCGGCGAGCACTTTGTTCCCAGCTAGGAGCTGGGGCCAGTACCTTTAGCTGGATGCCGGGCTCGGCCACAGCTCTGAAGGGTGTCGCTTGCCAGTACGTCTGTTCAGTCTGTTTCCACATCACCACGTAAAAGCTAGAGCTGTCTTGATAACCAAAAATAAAGCCAGCATAGTCGTCATCTGTCACCGTGTTCACATGAAAAGTGCCTTCAAAGTCAACGCCATTAAAAGCTGTGTAACCTGAGGATACGTGCAGGTTAAAATCAAGTCAGCAGAAATGAGGTCATGTGCTAAAAACCTGAATCACAGAAGAGGATACATACCAACAGCAAGGCCAGGATCACTGTTCATAGTCTGCACAATTTCCATGCCCTGTAAGAGTAAATGCAGGGTGGTTAACGAGCCCGTGTGTGTGAAGAGCTGGGTTGGCTTTGCCTAGCAGTCTCTTCTGGCCTCCCCCTAGCACCCCCATCATCCCTCTCCTCCTTTTGTTCACAACATGTCTATAAGCCTTGTAGCTCTGAATTTAAATGAGAGCTATAATCAAATCCTAATGCTTCAGCTGCTTGCCTGCACAGAGTTTGGAAGAATTTTTCTTTTCCCATTGCAGAGCTGGCCAGATGCATTCTGATACTTTTCCCTCCCTCTCCCAATTCTTCTTCTGAAATCACAGAAACTAGCCAGAATTGGAGATGGAACTGAAAAGAACGAGGAAAGAGGTTGTAAGAGGTTGAGTTTTTGGGGGTTTCGGGGTTTTTTTGTTTTTGTTGTTTTTTTAAGTCCTAACTCATACAATTTTATTCGCAGACTTACGGATTAAATTGACTGCGAAGCACTGGGTTAAGGCAGGCATACACAGCTCAGCTGGCTTGGCTGAGACTTTGGCAATGGGAGTGAATTGCCCATTCCTTATGGCTCAGAATAGATTAGTCTCCTGAAAACTAAAACGTGCTCGTGTAAAGAACAGTTACTGGTCTCCAACTAGGAGCAGATGCTCTGCTACACAACAGGTCCGACTTTCACATTTTAGGAAAGACTCGTGAGACTGCCCTTGCTGCAAAGTGATTTCAATAAGGTGACATGAAGGTCGCAGGTTTGCCTTCTAAGCAGCAGTGAAATCCACCCAGAATGAGTCTCCCTGCCTGTAATTATTTTAGACCACTAGTGTTGCAGCATCAAGCTGTCAGGCACTAAGAAAAAGTTCCTTCGTTATAACTCCTATAAAATAGTCAGCTGATTGAGAGTTTTCCACTTTTCACTTGTTTACTAGAGGTCCAGCAACATTACAGACACAGCCTTAATGTGGTTTTCAAATGACTTTTCTCAGATAAGTAAGAGGGTCCAGAGGCATTTTTACCTGGTTCAGAACCACCCAGTTGGGATCAATCTGCGCATCGCCCTCTGGGTCCAGCACCACTGTCTGATAGGCCCTAAAATCTGTCAAGGTGATCTCTGCATTCTCAGGGCATACATCGATCCGATCAATTACTGTGTCCTGGTCAAAATCAGACTCGCAGACATCCCCGACTCCATCGCCTGAATGCATCAGAGAAGTGAAAGCAGATTTGTAGACCAGCCAGAAGCCACATCAAGCTTAGCCACCGGACAGGGGCATCCAGGGAGCAGGCGAGTCTCAGCCCCCACTGCCTGCAGCGCCCAGGGAGGGGACCCCAAGGAGCTCTGCCTCGGACAAAAGCACCCCTGCGCGCTGAGATCCTTCCCGGGACAGGTGCATGAGGGAGCGCACCACGCACACAGTGTCTGCACCAGGACCCAGCACGCATGTAATACCTGGGGAAGGACGTGGGGTGTAAGCACCAAAACGGCCCCCGAAGACCCAGCTTACCATTATCATCTTCCTGCCCTGGGTTGGGGACGTTGTCTGGGCCTGTGGGCAAGAGGTCCGGAATTCCATCGTTGTCGTCATCATCATCACATTCGTCACCTAACCCATCCTTATCTGTGTCCAGCTGGGAGCTGTTAATGACGGTGGGGCAGTTGTCTGTGCTGTCCTGGTGCCCATCGCCATCGCTGTGAGCACAGACACAAAGAAAACCACACGCCAGCATCAGGACCTGCTTCTGGATGAGGGAGCGCACAGGTACCTGAGCTGGAAACGCAGCAGGGGCAACCCAGCAGCCTGTCACTGGCCTAGGCTATGACGACTAGGCCTGGAGTGATAAAATTACTGAGATAAGGAAAAGAAAAGGAAGCCTCACGTGGGGTGAGACAAGAACCCACAGCCCAAGATCCCCAAAAACATCCATTCCTAAAGGGTGTGCAACGCACACCCAAAGAGCAGTGCAGTGTCACCCATCAACAGGCCACCTGGAAGCTCAGGAGAGTGCAACAGCCGGTGTCCCTAATCCTCCATGTTGTGCACAAGTGTCATGGTGCTCACAAACACGTGAGTGAACGTATGGGGAAATCCACATGAGCAACCAAAATTGGGTCGTCTTTAAAATAAGCGCCACTTTCACCCTCCTGCATACCGAATTTTGTTATGTTACTTTCCCAGAGGGCAGCCGTGCAGCCCTTGGCAGCCCGCTTGCGCTGTGATCCAGGAGCAGAGATACGGAGGAGAGTGTCTGTGGCTTCCCCACAACCTCATGCGCTGCGTCAGCTGGTTACAGCACAGAGTCACAGGGAACAGGGACACTGGCTGTAGAAAAGGGTTGGGAAGGGCGGCTGCATTGTTTCTCCATCCCATGGTTAAGTGAGTGTGTGTGGGGAAGAAAAGGGCTTTTAACTTGTTTTAACTTGTAAAAGGGCTTTTTACTTGTTGGTGTCACCAGTGTGGTTTTGTTTAAAAACAAAACCTAAGAGCCATGGTACTACTGTTGTATGTCTTGGATTCTGGGTGCACCAGCCTTACCGGGTTTGATTCCCCAGCAGAAGTGCAGGGGCACTTCTCTGCTTCAGACCTGGGCTGAGAGATCAGGCCAAGAGCTACAGCTAAAGCCTGAAGTCAGGTGTGCTTCGCACATACACCGCAAATAAAATGGTTTTAGCCGAGAGCAGGCCCCCAGGAGCTTTTTGTCCAGCACAGGCAGAGCAAAAGCGATATGCAGCCAAGTTAAGGTGATGCTGAAGGTCATAGCTACGGATATGACAGCCTGCCCTCCCTGCTTCAGAAAGGTGCTTTAATTGTAGTTCAGCGCAGCTAATGCCCGCAAGTTCCTGAGGTAAAACGCAGTGAGGACTAGGCACATTCATCTGTTGCAAGGCTCACCTCAGGGAGGACTACAGTGTTTCTACCAGGGGAGGCTTCACGCACCTTAGTTAGCTTTAAGGGGAAAAGAAAACATCCTTTTTTAAAGGGGAAGAAACAAGGCCATGTCCACTCAACAGTAAAACAGTTGCCAAACACTGGGGCGGTGGCAGGCACAGAGCAAGGGCTGGGGGATGCGGGCTGCCCGGCACTCATCGTCTCAGCCCGCAGCCCCCCCCACGGCCCCGCGCCTGAAACCCTGCAAACGTCTGCAGCTGCTGAAACTCTGCACCAGCACAGGATTTATCACTTCCCTTTCCTCTGCTTTGAGTGAGGAGCACAGGGGAGGACCTGCCACCGCCAAAGCCGGTTGTGTGGGAGCTGCTTCCAGCCGGGCATTAGTCAGCTTGTCATGGGATGTGCTCCTCCGCACGCTCAGGGCATGCAAAAGCCGAAGGGGAGCCTGCCGCTCTTGCTGTGCTAAAGCAAAGGGATGTGTTTTTGAATGTGTTATACTTGATAATAAAATTCTGTTTCTGAAACAGAAGGATCGGGGGGGGGGGGAAGGCGTTACCTTACTAAGAAGCTCTGAGCAGCGCTCCCCAGTTTTACAGCCAGAGAACTGCCATGACTGTCATTTCCACAGAAACTCACAGGAAGTTTGTGTGAACGTGGGGATACAGGTGAAAAGCTCTACTACTATGCTGCTACAGGGAAGTGACCCAACAAGGCTTATAAATGATAACGTTATCTTTGAAATAACAAAACTATCAATCAGGAGATATTGAAATTATATCCAGCCTAGTCTGAGGGACTACAGCTGTGCAGGACTCAGTAGCGTACTCAGTCCAAGACTAGCTTCTCCCACTTCCCTGCTGCTATTACGGGCTCTGACACGGCATACCTGTCCTGATTGGTGTCGCAGGAATCTCCAATCAGGTCATTGTCAACATCTGACTGCAAAAGAAAACAGCAAAAGTTCCAGTATCAGCTGCTGAGACATCTGTTAAAACAGCAGTACTAAAACAAAACATGATCAATTCAAATACAGTTAAAATAGAGCCCCGAAGAACATCTGGTTTTGGAAACGTATCCTCTTGTCTGCATCATCCACCTAAACAAAAAGTCACTTTTAATAAAAAACAGACTAGGAATAAGCAGGGTTAAACCAGACCAGAGTGGTTCAAGCAAGGCGAGAGAACAAGCGTTGCCTCCACTACTGGAAATAAGTATCTCTCATTTCTAACCAAGGTTCATTTCTGGAGGAGCTTTAAAAATCTACTGTGTTTCTGTAAGTAAGCTTCCCGCATTTTTTGTTAGTTACAAAGGGCTTAACCAGAATTTTAAATGTATCAAAACTCTCCCTGATGTCTCACCTAGGAGCAGAAGTTTTGCTAAATAAGAACATCAAGATTTGGTCCTTATGAAAGGAATACCAGTGCAACTAAACCATGCCATTGTGTGGAGCCTGGCACTGGACCCTGTGGGACTGGAACAGCCCCCCTTTTAGAGCATGACGGCAGAAGACACTGATGGGGGAGAGGGGCTAACAGCTCAGTGTACGAGCATGCACCTGGCGGCTCCCCTTTCCGATGTCAGGAGCTTTCAAAACTCCATAAAACTTTCCTACATACCCACTGTCAAAAGTGAAGCACTGCGGCTGCACTGGCTGCCTCACCCTCTTGCATCTTTTTGAATCTCAACAATCCCTCTCACTAAATGAGGGTATTTTTCCTTCCGCCTGCTAACCTGGTTTGGGTTGCTGATGGTAGGGCAGCTGTCACAGGCATCGCCGACACCATCATTATCCTTGTCCTCCTGGTCTGGGTTGGGGATCCTCTGACAATTATCCAAAAGATTCTTAATACCTAGAAAAAAGTGGATTGGATGTTAGTTAAAAAACAATTTCCTATATTCGTCATTGGATGACATAAGCAAAGAACAGTAAAAACGCTGTTCCTTTTCTGCAACTGCTTAATCCTACAATGAAACTATAAACCTGTTCAACAAGTCTTTCTCATCTATTCATTAATAGAAGTTAGAAACATCTTACTGAAGAACAGTTGTCCTGCTCAGCCCAACAGCATACACCTCATTAGTTATACACGCTTCATTCTAGCCTGTTCCCTGTGTCACAGTTTACAGGATAGGACATTTCACCTTCAATATTACATCTGAAGGGTTGTGATTTTATGACTTCTTTCAAGTCTCCTCCAGCAATGGAAATAACATGCTATGCAGCTCTTGGGCATCTGGGACAGGCAGCAGCTGGGACACTCAAACACTCTGGGACATGTTTGAGCCTTTAAGGAATTACTGAATGACCAATGCCCTTAACTTATATCTGAAACACAGCTCAGTGTATCTGTTATAAAGTATATAGCACTTCAGCTGGAGGCTAAAAGACATATAATAATCTAACTATGACGACTCCAACCGGAAGTCTCATGCAGAAAGGGAATGTGTTACATGACACTTAGCAGCTGGTGAAAGTTTCCTAACGCACAGCACGGTCTGGGCAAGTTTCACAAACATCACAGAAGCCGTAAGTGAAGAACTACCAACCGTCTCCATCCATGTCATCATCACAAGCATCTCCTTTCCCATCACCATCAGTGTCCCGCTGATCATTATTTAGGACATTGCGGCAATTGTCACAGGCATCTCCAAAGATATCTTGGTCACTATTTCTCTGGTTAACATTGGGAGCCAAGACACAGTTATCCTGCAAGAGACACAGACCCAAACCAGGTATAAGCTGGACTGTGAATCCTTCGTTTCTACTTTAGTGGATTTATATAAGCCTTTTTTTAAATTTCTATTTTCAGGAAAAAGCAGCAGCAGTTTCCAAGTAGTTTAGCATTTGGTGTACTCTACAGCAGATATCAGTGGTTCCCTCGAGTACCTGTTTTCAGCCACACCATGGGAATACTAAATGTAAACAACCAATATCAAAAGGCTTTATTTATAACTTTGTTTTCTGCTTCTCATTTCACATAGGTCTAAGTAAGTAACCCGTTCTGAAGCCCTGGCTCCCTTACATGGTCTGTCTCAAGGGCAGCAGTTTAGGGGCCCTGGCAGGTCCTCGAGGTGCTCTTGATGAAAGGCGGTTGCCCCCTCCTGGTAGAAACTTGAACCAAAGCTGAAACACTTGGGAAATTATATTTTTTGATGCAAAAAGGCTCCAGTCCTATTCTTTTGTCATCTAAGATGCTGTTGACTCTCTAGGTCCATCAGGAGGCACATAGGGAGAAGTATTTCAAAATAGTGTAAACACCTCTCCCCCCATCCAGCACACCCATGTCCTCATACTGCCACGCACATGCGACAGGAGGCAGAACAGAGCTTAGCAACAACTTACAAGTTACCTGATTGCAAAGAGGTGCTGAAGTGGCAGACAGAGTCACAGCTGAAGGGGGATTTAACATCTTTTGTTATACAACTTTAATACAGCCAATTGCTCCAAGCTGCCAGAATTTTTGTCTCTGCAGCAAAATACCTCAAAACAGACCTTCTGCGACTGTCAGGCTGCCCTAGCTTCACATGGGCATTTGTACTCTGAATAGAGCATCCTTCTTCTCTTCCTTGGAAGTGCATTACGCAATACCACACAATATCTTGGTGTGGAATAACAGTGAGGAGTGAAAGCAAAAGAGCTTTTACAGACTGAATTTATGCTCCAGTATATTTTGCAGTGGTATCCTCACGTGGAAAGCTCTTTCTCTTTGAGAATCTGAGCCAAAGCTTTTGAAGTTATTGGCAAGGCACCCACTAATTTCTGTGGGCTTTGCATCCCTCACACAGCGTGCTGTCAGGTCACTCTGATCTTTAAACAGAAAGACACTAACTTAAGTAATGTTCTTAAAAGGCCAAGTTATGGGAGAGCGCAAAAGCAGAACACAGGACTATGTTCTGCAGAACCTGGGCGTTCTACAGAAAAGCTGTCACTAAGAAAATAAAATCCATTGCTAAAATATAAGTAATGGAGCATTCGTAGGTGGGATTTAAGCTACAGCTAAAAGACTTTCTTTTTTTTCTTTTTTTTTTTTTTTGGTCTTATACTATTTGGCCTTACATAAAAGACAGGATTCAGAGATGTACTGACAGTAACGGATATGGGATAATCATTGACAAATGGCAGTGGACCAGATTTTGAAGTCATTACTTAGTGCTCATTTTTGTCCTGCCTTCCTGGCTTTGTTCCAAATTAAAACTCTGTGCTATCTGTATACTTTCAGTCTGGAAGTGAAGATATACAGGTGACAGAAGAACAATAATCACTGCACCATCCCAATGGTCTGGCCTATATAAATGACATCCTTCTGTTTACACAGACCTCCAGCCCCCGAGATGAACACACAGATCTACACAGCACCTGCTCATTGGGAATGCCATCTCCATCTGCATCTTCGTCACAGGCATCTCCAATCCCATCACCATCAGCATCTTCTTGTCCAGAGTTTGGGACAAATCTGCAATTGTCCTAGATCAAACAAACAAGAGCAACAAGTCTGTATTCTTCGGGTTAACTGAATGCTATCACAGTTTGAATGACTTTTTCCATTACTGTTTTCATTAAATAATTTATCGAATGAAATACAATTTATCCAGAAGAACTGAATACCTTGAAAAAAATACGAATACGTCTAGTCACGTTTCTTCCATTCTTCTTCCCTCCTTCATGCTCTGTGTTATTATGGGATTAAGAAAGAACTTCTTACCTTTCTGCAGCTTTCAGCCGAGCATGAGAGTTCTTCATTAGGGTAGCCATCAATGTCGACATCTTTTCCACAGATATAACCATCACCAGCCCAGCCGATGCCACACTAGCAATAAAATGCCACGCTAGTATTACCAAAAGGTTAATGAGCCACTTCAGCAATACTCAACAGGGAAACTCCGTATCAGTCTTGAAAAGGGGTAATATGCAAAGGGCATCATCAGATGTTGAAGTACAGTGAAGTACGCCTCAGTATCTCTCAGTGTGGAAAAAAACCCACCTTAATTTCAAGATCTCTGTATCTAGGCCCAGCTAAAAAAAAACCTAAGGCCTGATTTTAAATGGACTGTGTGCCTAACAGTTTCAGTGAGACCTATAGATTTCTTTTAGACCCTTGTCAGAAGGCAATTTTGGCTCCCCACATGTCAGTGGAGAAAAGAGGGAACCTAGGCAGATGCACCTAGCATTTCAGCAAGGTGCCCAGGGTTGGGTGGGATGACTGTGCACTGGTATTGCAAAAATACATCCACAACTTGGGGAAGCTTTAAGAGAAAACTGTGTTGACAGCTACTGAGTTTGCATCAGCAAAGCAAGTGCATCTGCAAGTTTCTGCTAGCAAATTAAATCGCTGTTGTTTCACTTGAATGCCTAATTTGTATTGTGCTGCTGTAATTGAACACAGGCATGGAACGAAATGTCAAACCCAGGCCTCCCCTTAATATAAGGGCTTGCCTAACATGAGTATCTAGACACGTTCCCGTTACAGCATGAACTTAAAATATCCTAATTTCTTATTCTTTGAAATAGATGCACTTAAAAATGAGACGAAAGCAAGTGCCAGCAAAAGCACATACTGTAGCCAGATTTAGGATGCAGGATTAGTCTCTTGTTTCCCCTTGCTAGCTGGAAAAACTAAGGAATATACTTCAGTCAGACTTAGAATGAAAGTTCATTTGCCCCCTTGTGCTCATCTGCTCCTAGGGCAGGAAAGCACAGTACAGCCTACCTGCGCCAAGAATCTTTGGTCTCACTTGGGGAGGAGGAGAAAAAAAAGAAAGCATTTATATAATTAGGCAAACACGAGCACTGTGGGTATGCACACTGCATCCCTAATCACAGCTAGGCAGCTGAATGCGCTCTGTGCAGCAGCGCATCAGGAAAGGAATTTGCTCATGTGATGTTCTCCATGCAGCGACACTTGAGAGTCCTTTCTGAGGAAACTATAGAAGGGGCTAAAAAGGCCCTTCCCAGAAAATCTAGTTACACAGACACTAGCAGCCCACACAGTAAATATGGCATATGAGTATGGCTGCATTTAGACATACTGCAAGAAGAAAAAAAAATTGCAACACAGACTTGGCTCAGTTATTTTTGTAGCTGGGTTGGACCATTCTGCCATCATTTGGTTAGAAAACACAACTGTACTGATAAAACGGCCACAAAGACTTGCTCAGTTCCAGCCTTATAAAGGTTGGTTCTCACTGTAAACGCATGCATGCATGAATTTATTAACTTACAATACAAGTCACCTCGCCTCGCCTCTCCTCAATACACCGGGCATGGACACTGCATGGATTGAGGGCTCGACTTCTGCAGCTCCTCACAGCCTGGCATCCCCTGGCTTGGTCTCCTGTATATCCTGATTTGCATTGCCCGCAGTGGTAAGACCCCTGCAAGAATAAAAAAATTACTCGTCAGTGTTTTAACTGGACTTTTTTAAAGCAAACATGTGAATAAGATTCATGTTACACTGCTTACACTGTACAATCACAATTTTTCATCCACTGAGGCCTCTTGCACTGTGAGCAGACTTTTCTTTCTGCATAATATTCATGTTTGGCTCCCACAGCACACGCTGCAAAACATGCTCAGCTCATGCCTGTTGATACCAGGTGCCAAAACTTTGTGTAAACTCATCAGCAGCACCTGTTTAATCAGATTAGTTTAGCCAAACAAGCAAACCTGTGTGGGTGCTCTTGTTTCAGTGTAAAGCAGATTCCACCAGCGTATCTTAACTCAGCTGGGGACTGAGTGAAAGAGTGGAAGTGAGACAAAAAGGTTCACCATCCTTGCCCTGTTTATTTTTATCTTAAATATTTTTAAGCCAATTTGAGCTAAATCTTGTATTTTGGAAAGGAATTCAGGAGTTAAGAAATGGCTATCCTCATTAGAACGGCAGCACGAATGCTTGATGCAGCCTTTTGCATTGGTTTACCTAGAAACATACATATACCTTCATGAACTGCATTTGTCCACCTCTCATGCAAGAAAGCCCCAAGAAGCTAAACCAAGGAATCCCAGTTTATGCTGGGACAATCACTATATGCAATAGGAGCAGACAAAGGCTGATAAGGATGGGTCTTATTTAGGTATTTAATGTGTTTTTTGTCTCTGCCTCATATATCTGTAGATTTGTAGTCTATGACATAACAGATAGTTAATTGAAAAAAATCTTTTTTTCTTACAGCGTATGATTATTTTGATATGTCAAAGAACAGAAACAGGCAGATCTCCAACAAACTTGTGCATCACCCTTTGTGAAACAGAGGTGCTTCAGACCACTTTGCTCATCCCATACAAAGCCTGTTGAACAGTCAGAACCATCCCAGTCCACCATGCCAGAGACACTTACTACCCAACTGTGCATTATTTTTGTCCTGCCTTCCTGGCTTTGTTCCAAATTAAAACTCTGTGCTATCTGTATACTTTCAGTCTGGAAGTGAAGATATACAGGTGACAGAAGAACAATAATCACTGCACCATCCCAATGGTCTGGCCTATATAAAACATAACCGTCTGTGCACTTTCTCCTAATTGAAGCCAGGCTAAAATCTTCCGGAGCGTGTCAAGTTTGCTCAATATATTCTCTTCTGTGCATTAAAATAGCCTTTAAGGCAGCACTTCCTGACTCAACAGTTTGTAAAGGAAGACAAGAGCAAAAAAAAAAAAAAAAAAAATCACGCTGCTCTGTTTTGACAGCTAGCGGGCTTCCCGTTTCCCTGCTAAAACAGGGACTACCAGCCTTCAGAAGAGGGCTAGTCTTGCAATAGGTACAATGTGTGATAAAAGTGTTCCAGATACCAAAAAAAGAGAAACACAGTGAGCAGTGAAAGCAGTCCTAGCAAGACGAGGCCGTGCGCAAGGAAAGCACACCACTTGGAACGTCGCTGCTGGCCTCCATGATATCCAGCTGCAGAAAGAACCATCTTTACACCTGTAGGTTATTTTTCATCCCTTCTCTTGTTATGAACAGAGCCTGTGTTATGCAACCAGCAGGCTACTGTAGCAGAACGGTATTTGACAGTGGGATAAGTTAAGTGAAAGGTTGAAATTGCTTCATAGCATTAACATAGTTGTACTCCCCTTCTGTAGGACCGTAACATCTTCCAAACCATTTTTAGTTCTGCAGGGCTTGCTTTCCTGGATTATCTATCCAAGCCTATAGGTATTAAATGTGTTGTACCAATTGTAGCTCTCCTGCTCTCTGTATTATACAGAGGGATCTCTGGTGCTGTATATACCAGATACCCTAATGAAGTGAAGATACTACTCCTACAAAAAGGGCACCCATATGATCATCTTGCTGCAGTAATTCCTAGGTGGGTACAGTCAAGGGGAAGTAAAGATAAAAATCTTTCAAAGGAGGTTCCTTCCTATAACACGCTCGTAAACACACATAACTGGACGGTGAGCAGAGAATTCTTGGCATTCCTCAGGGAGAGATAATGATACAGCTCAGGTGTACAGGTTAATGACAAATTTAAGGATTGACTATTTTATTATTATTCATGAACAGGTGACTCTTTGGTTTAGACGCAGCCAAACAGATTACATTGTTTAGCTCATGAATTAGAGGCATAAATCCAATCCTAGCCTCATGGAATTTTAAAACAATGAATTTTGTAATGCCCCGAATGAAAAGGTGCTTACCAAAGTGTTCACACAATGGGAATTTGGAACACAGAGTCCATCTCCACCATCCTGACACTCATCGATGTCTAAGCAGACCTAGCAATGAAACAAAACAACCTGTAATAAAAACCGAGTCAACTTGCATCTAAGTCTGAAGAAAAGCCATGAAAGCTTAAAGCCAAATAAGAGTCATAGCCTCTCCCAAAACCACTTTAAGAATGACCATAGACTTAACTTCAGGATGGTTCTCCAGACACGCATGTCAACCTTGAAGGGACACTGTGTGATACAGTGTCACAATGTCAAATGGGCTTCTGGTTCACCCACAAGAGTTGAGAGGAGAACTATGTCCCATTGCAGAGCTATACAGGAAAGTTCATAAAAACTGTAGTAAAATAGACCTCTTCTATCAAACTCTTCCTCTTCCTAGGTCAGAATCAGTTCACGGAAATCAACAAAGCCTCTCTTTAAAAATTGATCAGATGTGCCTATGTAAATAATGACGTTCTTTCCTGTCCATCCTAATCCTGACTATTAGTCAGTTAATACTCTCATTAAAGCCAAGCAAACATAACAATCAGTTATAGCAGTAACACTCTAAGCTCTGCCTAAATGCACAAGGCAACTGTGTAATGACTGAAACATAAATAAAATGCAATACTGATATACTGATATACACCAGCCCCTTGCACTGGAGATTGTTGCAAGGATGCTGCCGCTCACCTGCTTATTGCTCTTGGCATAGATGAGTCCTACCCCTTGCACAGTTTGTCCTGTATATCCTGGGGGACAGGTCTCGCATCGGAAACCTGGAGCGGTGTTCACACAATGCACTCCAGGGAAGCAGGGGTTGTAACGGCACTGCAAGGACAAGAAATGAACTGAGCACCTGTCGATGCTTCAGTAACATCCAGCCACTGACTACATGCACAGAGCTCTCCAGGAATTTGCTTAGGCAATGCTACGTGAAAACGTCTGTATGTCTTCTGTTCAGAGCTGGCTCACAGAGAAAACAGTCTCAGGTATATTTGACCCCATAGATCAGTTCTCTCTGAAATTTAATTGACACTTATAATCTCGCATTATAGCCTGCAGTAGTACCCCAGGCTCTGCTCCCCATTCTTTCTTTTGCTGGGTAGGTTCAGCTCTTGCTGAGGTTGAGAATCCCCCTGGAAGGGGCAGGACCACAGTATCTGGAAAGCAGCGCAACTGCAGCCCACAAAATGATCCTGCCATTGTGTTCTGTACACACAAAAGGAGCAGCAGCATCTTCCCCTCATTTGTATTTGAGCAAATACTGTAAACAGAAGTACCCCAAATACAAGCCAGATAAATAGGGATGTGCCTGTAGCACCCCCACCTTTCTAGACCAGAGGGCCATAGACAGCCGTCAGCACTTCTCCCAAACACCGCATACCCATACCATCACTCTTGGACTGAGGACGCGGTTCACTTCACTGCCTAATGTGGTTTCGCAGAATGGTTGTGGCCCATTTCAGTGGCCTTCTGGGTGCCAGTGGGGAACTGCATCCTGCATTGCCACCTCTCAAATATCACCAGCCACTTGGTAATATTTGTAAGACTACTGAAAACATCAGCATCTCCTCGTGCTACATATGACTCAAAGACAGCAATAAGCAAGAAATAAGAAAAAAAAAATAAGAGTTAAAAATTTTTAAATATGTTTTTTCCCCTCCATCGCTAACAGAAAACCATCCATAAAACACTGGGAGAACAAGCCAGAGAACATTCATGTACAACATCAAATATATAACTTGTGTGAATGTATAAAATACCTGAGTCTATACTGCACAGGGTTCGCATTTGCCCGTTAGCATGTCATCTTCAGAGCGCTGTTACAGACTAGCGACCCACCACACACTTTTCACGGAGCAGGAAAAAAATAGGTTTAATAGTAAAGCGTGTTTGATGTAAAGATTGGATGGAAGTACATCTAAAGCTAACGTAAGGCAAACGTAAAGCCTAAGACAGACATTTTGTTCCCGCTAGCAAACTAGTCAACGTGAATTTTAGTGTAGCCAGTAGAGGGCAGTCAAATGCCATCACAAGCAAAGGCAGCGCGCCCGCACAGACCAGAGAGGACATCCGCGCCGGTACCAAAATAACATCTTACAACTGGCAGCGATTACGGGAGCCTGTTGCGGAGATGTTAACGGTCCCCGAACCGTTAACAGCTCTTAGTGGGGAAGCGTCTAGATTTCTCTTTACCGCAATTTGCGTGTGAACTCCTCCTTAAACGTCCACGTTTTAGGAAGTAACGTTCCCTGTTATTTCCTAAAGTAATAGGAAGTTCACTCAGTAGAAGGGCGTTTTCTGAGAAAAGACCCTGTAAAAGCTCTCAAGAAAATATTACTTTCCTTACCATCTTAGCTGACTAGGGAAAACAGAGAACCTGACAAAGAGCAGCTCATTAGACGATGAAAATCCATCGTCATTTATTATCTCTTTCCCCCCGACCCCAAGAAACCCTAAGTGTAAATCCAACTGATAAAGGCTATGTTTTCTGGTGAAGAAAATGCACCGAGCCAGCCGGCATTTTAGTAGCAGTGTCCGCACAGAGACTGAGAGCTCCTATAGGCAAGATTGTCTCCATGGCATCAGTTTGGCCAAACCTCCTCGCCGTTTCGAAGGTCAGGTCAGCTCTGCCACGCGGAGCAGCGGCAGGAACGCGAAGCGCACGCGTCTCTAGTGGCAGAGCCTGGCTGCTCAGGGAAGCCTGCTTTATCGTCGCGTTACTACAGACCGGTCTCGGTTGGCCTTCTCGCAGCGCTACCGTGGGCAGAGCTGCTCCCGTACTGCGAACGGCAGGGAGGAAGGAGAGCATCACCACGCTCTGCCCCAGTGTAAATCTGCCTCTGGAGAAGAGAGCGCCTCTCCACGCGGATGAGCTCCACCGAGGCTGGCTGTGGCGCGACACTCGCACCCCCGCCGCCTCGGCTTCGCCTCCTGCATCCACCTTTCGGGTCTTCACCTCCGGGTTCGGCACCGTCGGCTGCAGCAGACGCAGATCACGCCACGTGAGGCAAAGTGAAAGACATTGCCTACATGTCAGGAAACTGTAACACTCAGCCCAGTTTCTCCCCTCAGTGTTTTCCACAGACGGATACAAGCTGGACGCATCATACCGCTCTGCTGATGGCCTAGAGCGGCAAGGGGAGCAAGCCCGCAGTCAAAGCACATCTCTTGCTGTCTCGGAAGGGGGAAGAGGAACTGCTTTTGCTGTTTTACGTCATTTGGCAAGCGCTCTGATAGTACTGCGTTATCCACGAGCACAATTAACACCCTAATTCTCCTGGTTCCCTGGGCTACTGTATCCTCATGTTTCTCCACAGAAATCAGCAAAGGGTAATGGCAAAAATCATCATACAGAAAACACGTGGTGAAGCGGTAGGTTGTTTTGGTTTTTGTGTTATGTGCTCTGAGTAAGTGCCACTTATTTCAACTAATAATTCAGGATATACAGTCCTCGATATAAACGAGCTCTGAACTTCTAACTTACAGCACAAGTAAACAAAATAGATTTACATCAACCTTTCCAGCTTTCATTATAACCACAGAGAAGCAAAAGGAAGTGTAACAATAGATGTTCATTTTTTGTCACAGACCTTTAAGGTTAAGCTGAAGCCATGGCACCAGTAAGGGGTGAGCAGAGGACTGGTCTCCAAAGCTCGTTCAGGAGCACTACAGTTTACAGAAACAAACTCCCTATCAACAGGAAGTGCTTCCGCACGTCAGCCCATAAACAGAAGATGCTCTTTAAACTCCTAAAAGCATTAAACTCCTTTAAGTAACTTCTCAGCTCACTGGGGTATTCCAAGACTTCACCCACATAACCTCCACAAAGCTGCAACAACAGCAAAATAGGGGGGGTCCAAAATAGGGGGGTGGAATCAAGTCAGAATATTCACTGTGCAAGTAGTCAGCAAACGCTGAAGAGATCAGGCGTTAGCAACCCGCTGCTATATAAGGAAGCAGCTGTTTTTATCTTTTTCTTTTTTTGTTTAGTTCTGTGAAAGTCACTATTTTACCTCATCGATATCTGAGCACGTTACTCCGTTCCCTGTGAGCCCTTCAGGGCAGGGGCCGCACTGAAATCCCTCGGCTGTCTCCGTGCACCTGACCCCTCTGAAGCAGGAATTGGCTTCGCACTTGGGTTTAGGGCGCCTAGGAGGCGGGGTTGGAAAATTCACAGTCCCGAAACCTTTAACACAGAAAGAACAGCCGTTTTAGTGATTAGAAGAAACATCTATCATGGCTTTCAGCTGGCAAGCGCTCTGCAGAGATCCCCGTGGCGCAACTCAGCTGAGGACCGCGTTTCTGCCCCGCACAGCAAGGCTGCAGGAGCTACCAGCTGCACTGGGGCTGACAAGACTTCACGCTGGGAACAGCCCCACACCTCGCTGAGCCCCCAGATGGTGGAAGTTAAGCCTATTTCGTTAGGTCTGTGTGCTGCTCTTGGCTACACAGGGGAGCCCTCCTGCTAGGTTCGTTCCAGCACAGACCTGCAGCTGGTCAGGGGAGTGAAACCGCGAAAGCCAGGGACCTCAGGAGGCCAGAAGGACTCCTGAGAACTGAAGTTTCATGGTACGAGGCACTCCTCAGGCTAAAGCAGCAGCACTACCCTTTCATATCAAAGGCAGCGCCATGATTTCGCAAGAGCAAAATCTGACCATCTACAAACAAGGGGAACAAAGCAGCAGCAGTTGGCAGTAGGTGGGATGCACAGCAGGACATGCAGTACACTGGCTCAGACACACTGAGGCCAGCCCTGGGGAAAAGCAACATTTCCAGAGACTCCGGCTGGTGCTGAACGTTGGTACCAATGCACGGGCTACATCTTTGCATCTGCACAACTTAAAAGACATTTTCTTTGGCACGTGCACACAAAGTTTAACCTGGCTGGAGCTCAACTGAGATATAATGTTTTGATGTGGCTGATAGTTGGGGAGAAGCGATTAACTAAAAGGCCTAATGAGTTTAGGCCTACCATGCCACCCCAGGAGGGAATATCTTTGGTTGTCATAGCCAGCGTACGCATGTTTTGATTGCCAGTTGTATAGGAGGGCCACGCAGTGGCCTTCGGGAAGGCATTTATTTCTTCCATTTAGCCAAAAGATGGCCACTGTTTCACTTGGATCTTACTGCTGTTCACCAATGACTACCTACTCAGAATTTTCAGGTGAAATCCATGGGATCCTCCTGAGCCTGAAAATACCAACTGTTACGGAACAGAATTCCTCACTTATCCTTCCACTACAACTGGTGATGAGACATTTGCAGCCAGTGTCTCCCTCCCAGGGACGCATGGCACAGCTCTGTGGCAGAACAAGAACCGAGATGGCAGGGTGAGGTGGCACTGCTTGGTTTAGAGGGTTTTTATCCCCCAGGAGATAATTGCCAGGGCTATAGAAACTGAAAGCTTTTTCCCCAGTGGAAATCTATTTTAAATTTGTGTCAAATACATCTAGGATTTTAGACGCACTATTTTTTAAAAAATGCTTTCCAGACACCAAATAAATCTGATGTAATCAGAATTAGTTTTAAAGTGACTGCATATCTCATCTGGTTGCCTTTTACAGGCAATACAGGAATACTCACCACATGCTTGGCACTCAGCTATGGTATTTCTCAGAAAAGTTGTTTCCTTGACCTTCAGGATATAGAAAATACACATTATTTGGATAAAGGCAGCTCTGGTTTGCACCTGGCTGCCAGAAGAACCATTATCTTTTTCCCCAAAATACCACTCAAACCATGCAACATACGTACTACATCTTGAAAGGAGATACTCTTCATACGCCATAAAACTAAGCTCAGTGATAACGATCATAATTTAGTTCATCCTTCAACAGAACCTTTAAGAATAACAGGCTTAACTAAAGGCATATGCCAGCAAATCCAGATCTGAGACGCACCAACAAGCGGAACAAATTCAATTTCAGTTCCGTGCAACAGACTTACCTCTGTCTATCAACGAGCTAGGGCAGTTGCTGTAGTTCTCCACTTAAAACACCAGGTTTTCTGGATCTGAATATGCAAGTCGCCTGCACTGCCACATTCAGTGAACCATCACAGAGTGCACAGGACCTATGCAGTTACTTCTTCTCCACTGCACCATGCCTCTGGGGCAATGAACTCTACACACTTACTGCTTACGTGAATTCTGCCCTGACTCTATTAATAAAGTCACAAACCAGCAGATTTCATGCAGAAGCCCTTATACAGTACCTGTTGTCTGAGAAGGTCTTTCACATCTCCCAGTATTTGGTTCATCTGCATCATCTGACTCATCAGCTGCCTATTAAAATCACCTGCAGAAAAACAGTAATGAAAAAGCATGCACATCGCACATAGATCTCTTCCATTTGCCATGATCATTTCTGAGATACAAGATGGAATCATCTTTAATAGCCAAGGAGGGGGACATTGCTTTTGCTTAAGTCCTGTAGGAATGCTTTAAAGGAAATATAATATTTAGCTTCAGTTTTTATAGAGGGATTTGCATGACCTCGAGGCCCTTTGGACTTAATTCCACGGTATATCCAAGAAACAGGCAGAAAAAGCAAAAACTTCTCTACAGAGAGTAAAGCAATACATTTCTAACACTGTTTCAGTGTCTAACAATATTGACAACTAATGCCACCCACGCTACTGGTTTCTCCCAGGCCTGAGACCTGCAACCCTATGTGAAGCTTTATGGTTTCAAGACTGAAAAGGAACTTTTTTGTGATAACCCATTTGGGGGAGCCAAGAAATAGCTGTCCATATAATGGCAAGTCACCCCGTGTAAGTATATCTTGTGTCACTACAATCAAGTCCTGCTCATTTTTCAAAGAGAACTCACTCAGCATTCCAGGCGAGCTTGTGCTGCAGCTCTGATCACGCATCAAAAGCAGCCCCTCTGACCAAAACAGCAGTTTTAACACCTGCAGCCCTCATTTGGCTTTTCTTCCTGTTGCAGCTCATCTTACCGTACAGAAGTCCCACGGCTGCGTTCACTTCTGGTGGATGTAGAGCAAGGGCTGCCTCATTCGTAAGGACTCACAAAGCATCTACTCAACACACTTACAATCACGCATCAAAAACCTGTTCTCAACACCAAATAACAAATTAAAGACCTCTAACAAAAGAGCAAAAACTATAGCTATAACAAGCCACGGGGGGGGAGCAGAACTGACCCAAGATTTTCACATGAGACTCATTCGTTAAATGAAACATTCGTTTTGACCCAGTGACAGAGAAGCAGCATAGAGTATGTTTAACACAATAATACCCTGTTCTTTGTTTGTAGCTCCCTGCTGAGTTTGTAGCTCTCTTGAGCAGTTATTTCTTTACTTCTCTAAGTTGGTATGTCAAAACAAATTTCATAAATATATGCTTTTTTACATTCTAAGCAGGCAGGGTATTCCGATATCATGTCCAAAGGCTTCAGGGAGGTTTATTCATGTGTTACTTGAGAGAGTATTGAAAGCGTACATGAAAAATTCTTTTCTTAATGTTTACCTCATTGTCTTGTACTACAAAGCATTTCTAAATGTTTCCAAACGTTCTAGTGATAATTATTCTTCATATACTACATTTTCTTGATTTCAGATTTTCTCACCAAAACACTAAACAAGTTTAAAGACTTGGGAACCACCTGTTCTAGAACCTGCCTCCGTTCTAATCCCAACCTTTTCTTACTTTTATCTGGGGAGGAAGGCAGCAAGACTTAACTACGTCATGGGTATTTCAGAATCCCACAGTGGAACCTGGCATGCAGGCTGTCAGGACAGATGTAGGGGTTTTTTTGTTTTGCTTTATTTTTTTAAAAAAATATTGGCTTAGGCTGTATTGATTGTCATCTGCAAAAAAATTCTCAAGATTTCAGATGCTTCTTTCTTGGCTAGCATCTAAATCAAAAACAGATCTATGTTGTACAGTTAAGTTTTGCAGACCGTTAAACTTTAAGGTGGACTAAACAGGTTATATTGCCACGCACTGTTTGCAATGTTTGCAAATTTAGATAGCAAAGCACTACCACAAACAGAAAGACTTCCCATGATTTTTTTTTCTCTTGCATTTAAAGCCAAGTCCTATGGTAGGTACCACCTGTAGCAGAATGACTGATGATGCATGGCAAGAGGTAGACTTCAGAGAGGCCTTTCATGGGACTGCTTGGCTGTGGTGTGCTGCATGGGGGCATTCAGGGGTGGCTTCTCCCAGGATGGAGCAGGGCAAACCAAAGGTGCAGCCTGAGGCTCAACAGTTACCTGGTCCTACCACCCTGTCTCTCTCATCCACAGCCCATCTACTGAGGTGACTCCCCAGACCAGCTTGTGTCCAGTTCCCATATTTTGAAATGGTAATGACTTGGATAACAGGATGGCTTTCACAGCAATAATTAAACTCAGAAACAGATCTGAAAAATTACTGTCCAACGGGGAAATGAAGTCTCTTGACATACTTATTCTCCATAAACCTGAAATCATGACAGTGACACAAAGTGCTTGGCTCAGGAAGCTACCCTGTCCTTCTCCTTCCTTGTTTCATACCCTAGGCAGGACCTTCTACAAGGCCTTGGATTTGGAGCAGGTGACCAGCTCTGTTGCACAGCTAATCGGCCCAGGCAGGGCAACACATAATCACTAGCCGGGGAGACTGCAGGACCCCATATAATGCTTCATAGACACATGAGCCTTTCTTCTAGCTCTCTTGGGAGCGATTTTGGTTTGAACACCCTACTGCAGGCCATCTGGCAAAGTCAGAGTCATGGAGTGTCTTTCAAAGAGATTTTGGTTACTCAGCCAAATCAGAGACTCAGGCATGATTAAAGTATGCATGATGGCTGATAACTGAACAGTCTCCTGTCAGCCTGTAACCTAGTACCCAAAGAAGGCGGATGTAGAAGTTGTGCATACAAGATGCAAGTGGGCAGCAAAGGGAATTATTTATTACAGGAGCTATTTCCTCAGACACATAATGGGTTCTTTGTCAGACGTACTTGACCACACATTCAAAACTGACCAGAGAGATTCATCTACTGAGTACAAAGCACAAAGACTCCACCTCTGGGTCAAGAGATCCATATACCACGAATCGCTGGAGGTTGGGAGAGCATTCGGGAAAGTAACACTATAACTGCGTTCTCTCTTACACTCTTCTGTTTGGGTCCATGACAGCATACTAGACTAAAAGAATCTTTGGTCTGACGCAACACAGACATTTTTATTTTTCTACATTATGTCAAGTCCAGCTACCATAGATGAACTAGAGGACCTTCACAGGTCCCTTCCAACATGAACGATTTTGTGATTCTGATTACATGTGGCGTATTGATCTCACCTGCCAAAAAGTATGGGTCTTGCACCATATTTTCCTGCCAGCATGGGAAGATTCGAATACCCACGCTCCACCTCTATCCGATCATAATACTCCTCACCTTGCAGCTATACTGCTTATAGCATCTCAGCTTCACAGACTGAGCACTGAGGGGCGGCTGCTGCTGCCACAGTAGCGGCAATGATCAGGACTCTCAGTCGAGGCCAAGTACCGTTATTCAGGTCCTAAGCTCTCACACGTTTTCTGATTAAAACACACATACATATGCTTATACCAAGATACATAGGTGTCATATCCCTACACAGCTAAGCACTTGCATTACTGCTTTTTCTGGCTAAAGAAATGGTTGTGGTTATCTGATATATTGCTCCTGCAAAGGGTATCATGAAACATATACAATGTGCGAGGCAGCTGAGTTAATATTGCTGTTGGAACACTTGCACCTCTTCCTTCTGCGGATTTGACTATGTAGACTTTGAGTATATTCATGTGAGTTTTTTGTTTAATGTAATATGATACTAATTCCATTTGATAAGTAAATGAACTTGAGAGGCCAGTCCAAAAAGATCAGCCAGGTGTAGGTAGCCAGGGAGACAGTATCTCCCTGTGTTACTATGGTTGGAATTATTAAGGAGCAGAACGTTACAAATGAGAACAATAATTCTGCAATTTGGAAATCTTGCTCACTGAGCTGTGAGTTTTCCAGGAGGAAACACTGAATTACACTTTCCTCCTATCTGCAAATGTTGATTTAAGTTGATTTAAGGAGGTTGATCTAAGGAAGAAGAAAGAGGCCTTTGGTAATAGAACTCTTCATATTTTTGGCTAAGTGTATAAATGTTAAAGAGCAAGAAAACAGACGTGTGTGCCACAGATGATTTACATAGTTAACAGGCAAAACAGATACTGTCATCGCTAAGCAGCTCTGATGCCCACATTCATGTAATGCACCCAGGATGGTCTCATATCAAAACCGTGTGTCTTGTCCCCCAACTACACTGAATCTCTTTTAATCAAAAATAGCAATGCTGTAGTTTTCTGGAGGGTGGGGGAAAGGGTGAGAGAGAGAGAGCAAGCTTCTCATGGATGCTATTTCAAACCTTAAACTCACATTTTTTTGTATCATTGTTGTCACCTATCAACATACTGCATGCATAGCGTGAACATGTTGTGCTCCCTCACGCCCACACTGGAAAGGCAGATTGACAGGGTTGGGCAGGGAGTCCAGATGAGGCAGTCTAGCCCAGGTTTGCTCTGTTGAGAGGCTGGAGAGCACCTTCCCCCGTCACAAGGGAGGGCATCCAGACCCCGTGGGACCTGCAGGAACCCCAAGAGAAGCAGCTCCTTCCTTTCTTCCCTATTTCTAGCTCAATCTCCATAATGGGACGCAGGACAGAAACTGGTTTTGAAACAGATTTCCAGTCCGGCAGGTGAACAAAAGCCTCAGCTAGCTTGCGGCAGGACTAGCTGCTGCCTTAGTATGGCTTTTCCCACAGGAACTCGTGGGCTATCTAATGGCAGCACCAACGCGCTCTGCAGTCCTGTGGTCCTCATCCTCGCCTCGTCCCTTTCCCTCTCTTGGCCACCTGATGACCAGCAAAAGGTGAGTACTGGCCATGTAGATAAGTGTACTGATAGGTCTTGCTCTTCTAACCATCTGCCTGTTTTCATAAAGCCTGTAGGAGTGTATCACCTTTAACGCTACTTACTGTTTGCAAGTCCAGTTTGAATAGTTAAAATATTATTAAAACTGACATGCACAGCACGATCACGTAAGTTGCACTGTCTTATGAAATTAGGCTGAAAAGCCTCTCTTCATCACCACAGACTCTTCTTTCACTAGGCCAACAACTCACTGCTTTGTCACCTGCAACGGTGTGATTGTTTTCTTTTCCAGATTGAGCTATTTCTAAAATATTTTCAGGATATTATCATGGCTGTAATTCAGTCCAAAAATCAGCATTACTCATCTTGAGTTTCTCCACGTTTTTAATGCTTCTTTGCATTGATATCCTAAGGAACCAGAGCATTTTAACTCCCAACTGCAGGTCTTACCAGTGTACTGAGGAACAGGTTCAATTTGTTGAAGGAAACAATCCTGCAGATTCCCCACCTCAGCAAGTGATCCTCCTGTTACCACCTTCAGCTCATCTAGTGTATCCTGGAGTCACAGAAGAAATTGAGAGATCACAGTTCTGGTACAACAATGGAAAAAAATGTGAAATACTGGCAGAAGTAAATTATTTTTTCAGATAGGATCTCCATTTCCTAAGCATGCAGAGCTCCTTCCTACACTGTCCCTTCAGGACCACCCATCACCATCTGAACTGTAATAAAATCCCAAATTTTTGCATGGTAGATTTTCACATAGCTGTGGTTTTGTTCTGATTTTTTTTTTTTTTACTATTTAAATTCATACACTCTCATACCAGAAAGTTCACATATTTTTATATCTGCAGTATATAAAAATGCTTTTTTGTTGAACTGAATCCAGAGCACTCTTTTTCCCCTCTCAGACAGGCTCACATTCACGTCAGGAATGTGGGCACCTCCGTAATTCTCCACATAAACAGGCTCATTTTCTAGTCTGCAAAGAAACAACAGGAGGGGGCAACCTTGGGGCAGAATGCCTTGGGCCTTTGCACCCAAGGAGGCATGTTTTGCATTAACAGCAATGAAAGATGCTTGTGGAAGATGCTGTTTACCCTGGACTGCTGATATGGAAATGACAGGAAGCAACATCAGGCCCCTGGTTGGTAGACAGAGGCAGAAAAATGACTGCATTCACACAGCTGGGGTTTCGACCCTCATCTGTCCCCAGAGGAGTCCCCCCCACCCCTTCCTTGTCTCCTCAGTCCATGTGGCTTATAGTGAAGTGGAAAACTAAATAGACAGTCAAATGTTGCTCATGCTGAACAGCCACAAGAAGCTCATGAAGAGCTGCCCTTATTGCATCAACTAAGCTTAGAAAAGGTCTGATCCGTGAGAAACACCTAGACTACAGTGAGGGAGGCTGACAATTTTAAATACGCTAAAAATTGTTTACAATTTTTAACTGCGAAACTCTTACTGGGTTCAATGAGGCTAAGATTTCGCCTGTTCCACAGTGAACTTGTTTACATTTCTGTCCCAGATTATTGGAATATTCAAGTATTACTAAAGCACCATTGTACAGAGTTTGGCTGCTGTGAGGGCAGAGGTCTGGACTCAGCAATTCAGAGGGTCCCCACTGGTGCCCCCGAGTGCTCAGGCTGCTTCCAGTTTTCCTGCTCACCTGTGACTTCTTCTGGAAAGTGCGTAACTCTACTGACGCCGACCTCTGAGACAGAGTCAAAAATGCTTTTGGCAGGTCCCGAAGGGCACCTACTTGCAGGCAGTCCACATACAACTCTATCATGCTCGATCCCTGCTGCAGGCCGCTCAGCCTCAGGAGGACAGCATGGGGTTTCCCATCAGCCAGCTGGACGTTGCTAAAGACGACAGAGTTCAGCCTCCCATTGCTCTTCAGATAGCGAAGTGCCACTAGTGCAAAATACACAGAATAACTATGAGAGGGTAGCAGATAATCCAAGCCTGATCAAGGAAGATCCTGTGGAAAACTACCATGGCTCTGGTATTGATCCTCATGTCAGCTCTGTTAAATGCATCCCATATGCAGATATATGTGGTAAGAATAAATGGGATGTAGACTCCAGAGCTGGATTACCAGAGCTCTTGTGTGACTCCCCATTTGTGAAGCACTGCTGCCTGCAGAGCGTTTTCCACTGCTTTGGCCAGGCCTTTTTAAATGGCTCAAACGATGAAGCTCAAACGATGAAGCTTTTTAAATGGCTCAAACGATGAAACGTCACCTTAAAGGGTAATGCGCTAAAACACACAGCGATAAAGATAATGGGCATAGCTGACATGCTGGCAGTCAGCACTTTGAGAGATAGCCCTAGAATTACTGTGTAGCAGAAACGTACCACTAGAACATCAGTTTCAGTAAAGCATATTGCATTAGGCAAAGCCGACTGACAGCATATCCAACTGCATCATTAAGAAACAGAACCAAGCAGGGATTATCTGCATTTCGTTGTAACAAACAGTACATGAAAACAAACTGTAAGCCAGAGAAGACAACCTGCCCCTTTAGATGACTAACTGTGCTCTCAACTCTTTCTTCAAGGGTTTAGTGAGTGACCTACTTGATACTTCCAACACAACACACTCTCATTTAACAAAGTAAAGTGCACCGTCAAAAACACAGCAACAAACAAAAAAAATTCTTACACACTAAGTAATATTGACAAATGCACCTTTCTTTAGGAAACTGGATCTGCAAGCTAGATCACTTAGAGCTGCTAGCTAGTTCTCTTTATCAAATCTCTCCCTGTCTCTCTGAATGCCTAAGGATATCCTCTGAAGCAATGAGCTGGTGCAGCTAGAGAGTATATAATTATTCTACAATGTTAAAGAGATCTTGTTTTAAGGAACCCGTTTTAAATATCCCAGCCTGATTTCCTCATCTTACATGCACTGAGGAGTCAAACTGCACACATATTGAGCTCCTAAATAGTTAAGGGCTGGCTTTTCTGAACATCTGTTTGAAGTTCACAGAGAGCTGCCACTATTGCATCAAGCGAGAGCTCACAAATACTCTGACCTTCAAGAAACACCTAGACTAAAATGAGGTCAGCTAAAAATTGTGGATATAATGGAGGGCAAAAACTCTTAATAGCTTCAGAGAGAGCTTCTAATAGCTTCTAATGCCTAGTGAACTCGCCCTATTTCTATTTGTTTAGTAGTGGAGAGAAAGGAAGATGATTTGTTAAGGTACTCTCCTTGATGCTGTGATATCTCTGATAGCAGGGGACATGCGGCTAGTAACTCAGAAGATCCCTGACAATCTTTCTAATTGCTCGGTCTAATGACTGAACAAATCCAGATTTATACCAGCATGAACAGGGCAGAACACGTCTTCGTCTTTAAAGCGTACACTAGTGCTTAAGTCCCAGCAGCTGTGATCAATATCTGGAATGTTTTCACTTCTGTCTGTGTCAAAATGCTGCCAGAGCTGAGATTTCCGCAAAGGTGCATGAGGTCACCAGTAACTTGCTAAAAGGTAGCGTTTGTTGGCAAACTCAAAGATTTGGCAAGACAGAGTACGTTGCAGGCGTTTTACTTATGTGAATACTATGCACACAGGGTTGTATGAAAGCAAGATCCTTGGATGTAGCCCATGCATACAGAGTGACCAAGTGCAGCAGTTAGCGAAAGAAAGAAGAGATGGTGGCAGGGCCCAGAACGGACCGATGGCGACCTGCCAGAATAGTTGGAGGACAAGGAGCAGTCTGGCTTGGAAGGAAAATCAAGAATTCCTTCCTCAGCCAAAGCCAAATATCCATCTGGTAAACTGGAATAGGCTTTTGAAGGGACATTTTGCTGGACCACAGCCTCAGCAAGACTTAACCCATCCAAGCCCCTGCATTACCTGTCTACTGCCAGGATATGCTACACTGACATTCCCGAGAGTAAGCGACTTGCCTGCACTGTCTAAGATACAGATTTTCAATGAAGCTGAAGTAAATAGGAACTGCCTCACACAGTTGCTAAGTTACACCAGTTTTATGTATTTAGTGCTATTTGTTCTAAGAATGTATCATTCAAAAAAAGACAAGAAACCCTCGGACCTATTTGAGACTTTGCCTCGGTGAAGTACGTTGGTTTAACCAAAACAAGTTAGGCAGTTGCCTAGTAATTCAGATGCACTTAAAGCACCTTCACTGAAGCATATATCAATTTATCTTGTATCCGTAAGACACATTTATCATAAACTGGTGAAAGCAAGAGTTAAGCCAGTGTACATAAACTGAATGGATAACACGGCAAAAGGTTACCTGACATCATGTAGGTAAATCAGTGCATCTTTCCAGCCAGGCAAGACCTTACTATGAGCTCAGCAAAGCAAAAGCAAAAATAATTCCATATAAAAATTGTGCTGTAAAACATTCAACTATTGCTAACATATTTGCAATCAGATATGCCACAACAAAATCAGAATGGGGGCAAAACATTTGGAACGTAGTTTTCAAACGTGGCACTGTAAAAGATAACTAGGGCCTGCTTTGGGTTACTTAGATCAGAATCTGAGTGCATAAGTGGAAATACCACGCAGACGGAGCACTATGCCCGCATGCACTATTCCAAAAGCCCAAATATTTAGACTTCAGATTTTGCTAAGACGCCAACACTGGCTCACCACTTAAGTGATGATCTCCAGGCTTGAGAGGATCACAAACAGCCCCCGCACTCCATGCTTTCAGCTCATGTGACGGCCTCCTGGATGCAGTTTAACTTACCGAATGAAGTAGCCATATGGGACACTGGACACTTCCAGAGAAATCACGTGTGAAGACACTGTGAAACACTGCCTACTACTCTCACACTGTCATACGTCTTAAACAAGGTGCATTAAAACAATAAGGAGGCAACAAGATCTCCGTGGTACAGCTGAAGAAGCTGAGAAAAGCCTCCCTCTGTTTGGCTTAGACCCGTACAATAGTTAGGTTACAAAAGTCCTCCATCTACTCAAGGTATAAAGGACATGAGTCACTGCCAGTACACATTTCTTTATGTTGCCTATATTTAAACCCCAATCCTGCTACAGACACTTCTCAAGTACAATGCAACCAAACACACCGAGGACAAAAACAAAAGAAACTCTGCAACTTTGTACCAAAAAGCCTCTTAAGTCTGTTACCTAAATCACACCTAAGTATGGTATACATAGATATCAGGCATGAGAGACAGAGAGAGAGACAGAACATGCAATATACCATTTGTTTAGCAATAAAGTCGGTCAATTTTAGGAATTGCAAGACAGTTATTGACAAGGCTATGTGGCCACTTCTTATGCGTCTCCACCACACATATAGCATGAAAGACTAGTTCTTATTCCTTGGCCTCCGAAGAAATTTGCCAGACCTGATAAAACTATTAGTGTTTTAAGTAAAATGTATGCTTTTCTTTAGCGTATGGAATAGTTTTCCTACATATAAACTGAAATTTCTCAGTAGAATTCCTCAGTATAATAGACTCAGCTGCCTGATTATAACATCAGCAGAAGCAAATCGTATCAGCAGTGAAGTCAATGGAGTAATGATAATTTTCACCACTTGATGATTTGTCATTGAACCTTAATATTGCAACATATCCTAGATCTGAGACTGATCTGAGACTCAGAGAGTGAAGTTCCCAGTTTCTAAAAATCTGCGAAAGCTTCTGCTTTGACTGTTAATGAACTGATTCCAATAAGCAAAGAACAAGCATTTTAATTCACCCAAAAGATCCCTTAAGTGCTAGGAATGTTTGTCTTGCACAGTCACATCCGACCTCCAGGGAAGAGGGAACAAGAACCCGCCTTTCATATGCATGAGGCAACATGTGCATGTGTCCCGCACATTCCTGAGTAACAAGAACCAGAGATTGTCCCAAGGGGAAAAAAAATAAAGAAAAACAACTTGACTCCTTCCTCCGATACTCTTTTCTTTCTCTCCCTTCTCAGCATATCTCAGAGCAGGCTGCAGAGATCCCCGCTGACGGGCAGGTGTGCTCCCCGGCCAGGAGAGCAGCATGCAGCCAGGGGAAGGAAGCACAAGCGGAGCGAGAGAGGATGCTCTCAACACCCTTACCACCTGAAGAGGCCCCGTGGTGACAGCATGCAAGCAACAGGAATGACTCAAGCACAAAGGTTAATCACAGTTTCCAATGGCCACCCATAACATACCAACAACCACGGATCCAGCAGTAGTTTCCCTCTACCTACCCCAAACAACTCACCTTTATTCACCCGTCCCATTACTGTGAATTCAAAATACTTGCTGTTGTCTGCTGACGAATACAGGCCAAATATGGTGGCTGTGCTCTTTGACTGCAGGTTGAGTGTTGTGAGCAAGTACACATCATTCAGTGTAGGATCACTGAGGGCTTGTTGCAGAAAGTTTGTTACCATTCTCTTGTTGGAATATGAAAGAAGATCAAAAACTGAAAAATAAGATGGTTTAAACAGCAGTTTAAATACAACAGCGAGCTACGAAGAATGTAGCCTGTTCATCCCCATGCCACCTTTTGGAAAACACAAACTCATCTCTATTTCCGTATGGATATTTTAACCCAATTTATCCTCTCTAAATGAATAACCTGAAAATAACACGAATAATGTGAAAATATTATACAGATTTTGTGCAACCTATCATCTGTTAGCAATAGATTCTATAAATTATTGGTAGGTTTTTAAAACAGAAATACCTAGTCTTCAAATTGAAGTTACTCAAATATTTTCAAGTAGATCTCTAAGATGTAGCCCTTTTGAGATGCACCTCAACAGAAAGCTTTTTAACTTGCTTCTGATTTTACAAACCCACATGCTGATGCTCACATTTCAGTCAGACTCAGAACCTTCTTCAGACAGGAGATTTCCAGTATGCTTATCCTCAGAACCATTTTGATGGAGTCTTGCAAGGGCATCAATTAAAATGCTAAAAAGCCAGGTAAGCAATATGATATTCATAACCTCCTTCTCACTTCACTGACTCCTCAGAAGATGTATTATATAAACAAGACTCGTCTTTCCCTTTTGGCACAGATAACAAAGAAAGACAGGCCTGACAAAAAATAAGCCTGAAGGCATAGTGAAAGCTGCTTCAAATTCTTCTCTTCAGTTTTTGCACAACGCATTAGCAAAGAGCCTGAATATTATACTCTTAAGTATGTCAGCTACGCCCCTTATGGCACAGAAGCAACAAACTGGGTTTTTCCTCAGTGTTCCTAAATCCGTGATGTCTCCAAACTCCATCAGCTGTTCCAGTAGGTTTCTTGGTAATCTCCTACTTAAACCTACTGCTATTAAAACATCACATATACTATTCCCTTCCAATAAAGACTAATAAATAACTGTGTACAAGGGTTATTTAAATATTAGGATATATTTAGCCAGTCACTCAACAGACCTGTCACAGCTGGGCCATATTTTTCTCCCAAACCAGCATGACAGTACAGAGCCGCCACCAAAGAGCCCTGACACAAGGCAGGCAGCAAAGGCACGTGACAACACGTCGTGCCATGGTCTGATTCACGCCCACGGCTGCACCGCAGTTTAGCTTCATAGGCTGGAAAACGGTGGACCTGTGCGGACGAGTATCCTCTACCCAAACTCAGGTCAGGTCACCTGAACCTCGCACGGTTCCTCAAAGCAAGCCTGCTGACAGAGGTCGGGGCCATCCTGCTGGTCGAGCGTTTCTGGGCAGGCGGAGGCTCGTGCACGCCCGCTCGGATGGCGTTACATGGGTGCACGGCCCTACCCAGAGCCATGTGGCAAACCCCGCTCCCT